GTATCAGTATAATTCGCTAAGTAAAGCTCTGAGATATCAACAAAATAAAACTGGTCGTAATTTCGAGATGCCTTTATCATCAAAAAACAATTATAGAATTAATGTAATTTCACTGCACAGTTTTAATGTGAAATATCCATATACTGTTTTATGGATATCATCAATTTAGGTTTAATGGATACTAACAATATATAGTTTTAAATACTAACAATATGATGTTTTAATTGATAATATCATTATACAGTTTTAATATGTATAAGCATTATACAGTTTGAAAAGATACTTTCAAAAAACAGTTCATGGATATTATCAATGAAATTATAAAGGATACTAACAATATTCGATTTACAGTTTCAATATATACAAAATTACTCAGGTTACCCTACGTAAAATATCTTGAAGAAATCTTATTGAAATAGAATGCAACTAAATGGAATATCATGCTACCGTGTACTAGTTGTGACATTCCAATGGGATTGAACAGTGAAAGTGTCCTTCAAAGGCCCCATCCTCCACTGGCATTGTCTTCATATGACTCTGTTGGTTTAAAAATTTGTTTTAAAACTATACTCATTTACGAACGGCATTTCCGGTGCATGTGAGATAAGTACACGTTTGTAGGTTTACACCGACATGAACCCAGAAAACGTGCCTCCATATAATAACATACACGTTGCATTGAAAGAGCATTGAAATTATACCATTTTAATCGTTCACACAACAAACCATTGTCTCAGTAATTACCATCTGTTAGAATATATCGTTTTACCATAGATTACTCGGTTATCCCGCCATGTTAGATCCTAGTGTTGTCTTTAGATAAAAATAATGCGTGTACTATATACATCTTTGAGGCGTTCAAACATGATTGGTAGGTGCTCCATCACACCAGGAAGTCTGCCGTTCTTTTTATGTTTTAAATTATATAATCCACGTGTTAAACGAAATTACAACCCAACTCATTTCCAAGTTTATGATATGGAGAGGTGACTTGTGTATATGTAGGTCCTCTTGTCACAACGAGTATTGAAAACTTCATACATCTCTTGTTTCATGTCAAACTAAAGAATTTATTTGACAATCATATTTGAATCTCAAAAAATATGTGTTCCTGATGATTAATCGTCTTCAGCCGTGTAAAAACATATTTGCATTCTTTTAAGGGTCCATAATTATACCATTCTATATACTGCTATGCATGAGGTCGTGAAAATATGAGAGCGACAATATTACCTCAATTTTGCAATTTTAAACCGATCACAGATTAAAAATGCTTAAAATGCCAAAGTTGAAAAATTGTGTAAAAGGCAACCTGTACTTTATTTAAACTAAAACTGTGAATGCTGGTCAGGCTATTGGGAAATTACATAGCAGTCATTGTCCTCCAAATGAATCATGGAATAGCGGCGGAACATGCAGCTAACAATTAGCCATGATTTCAAATATCTAAAACAAAATAAGACTGCATTGTCTTTTTTAGCATACATAAAACGTTTTGAAACCATTGAAATATCTCTATATATAAACCAATACGCGCTATGGGATCTACAAAGTATATCAATACGTCAGAGGAGTAATTTAGTCTCATGATGATGTTGGGAGAGTAATTGATTTGCTAAATATCAAAACTGTCATACAAAGACGATAGACAGACTATCACAAAATATATATGGAACAGAAACGTCAGGGGATACAGATAACCATTTCATGGTCTGCACGATCGTGAAGATATTACATTGTACGATTGAGCGTGAGTGTATTGATATGACACATGGTATAGCTCCGTCTATCATATATAGTGCTTGGAAAGATGGCATCATGAGCTTAGATCAGGCAGAGACTACGCCGACGGATGAATGACACTTAACTCTGTCACATTATTCTACGGGAAGCCGTAGGGGTAATAAGAAATATGTAGGTGATATACATTCAATTACAATAGTTTCTTTGTTAATCATATCACAAAACGCCTGCAATCTCCGATTATATTTGAAATTATTGAAATAAGTGTACCAATACGTCTCACTGATGAGAATGAAGATGATAGGATAGGGTTTAAGAACTGCTGTGAAGCAGATAATATATTTATATTTAGATATGTCCGAAGTCATTTCAGTGATGCATCTCACTCAATTCAGTAATGTATAGATAAACAAATAATGCAATTTCTTATCTAGAAGGTATGGATGTAAAAATATTTTACACTGTACATGTGTTCATTTTATTCCTCAGTGAATATTGTAAATGGTGCCCTTCAAATAAGCTTTTGTCAACCGTAGATTCTTATAAATAAGTGAACTATTAGTGAGTGAAAACAATGAGTACAACAATGGTAATATATATAGTGACTTGGTCACAAGTATGCAGGAAATCACTAATTAGCGACATTCTCGTCTCTCCCGTGTGACAAACACAATGTAATGGGCATGTAGTAGGTCATATCATTATGTCGACTACAAGAGTCTATTGTGCTGCGCCAAATTCATAATTTCCATTGAATTAATCGGGGAAATTGCTTAACTCATAAAGAAATTAAACAGGAGTATCCTGACGCGGGAGGGCTATAATTTTAACTTACGTTTGGACTCAACCGCTATTAAGAACACCTTTAATTGCTTTAGTATTAAGCGAGTGTGAAACTGCTTGTATACCGTAAGTGAGCTGCCGTTTTAAACGCCATATAAAGCTAGCATTATAAAAGCATCTCTATTCAATAAAGTATTATTGTATTTAAGAAATTGGCATTTAATTATTATCTGTATGTCCAGTTCTATAAAAATAATTATCAATTAACTTTGATAAAAAGAGGCCCGATGGGTCTTCATTGCTTACATGTTTGTTAATTGACATTAAGTCGTGTAACATTTAAAGATGAATGAACAAGTTTCCACAAACTGTTAAGAATTAACAGTTTACCTCGTGATGTTGAAAGTTTTACACGGTTCTGCAGCTGAACAGACTTGGAAGCCATCACATCAGCATGTTATTGGTGCAATTTCAATACCTAAGGTTTTCTGGTTATACAGAAGAAGTTATATATAGTTATAAGTCGATATAGCATTAAGATGGGGACTCTGGGTGGATAGAAAATACGAAAGAATGAACATTGACTTCACTAGATAGTATCGTCAAAAAGGTTTCAATTTTAATGTTTCGGTCAGCAGTACGGGGTCAATCGTCACTATAAATAAATATGTACAATGCATCTATTTACAATAAGATGGAGAAGCTAAAGGCCATGTATCAGTATCCTGGGCCTTTTGTTTATTAAGAACTCCTTTTAATTTTTAACACATATGACAATGTAACCTTGAAAGTGTGTCAAGGTCAATCATTTGAACAAATGTTGTAGGCCTTCATCCTACAAAGCCACAGGCCATATATCAGTATCCTGGGCGTTTTGGTTATTGGTAAGAAGGTCTTTCAATATTTTAATGCATTTGGCCATTGAGACCTTGAGAGTGGGCCATGGTCATTCATTTGAATAAAGTTGGTAGCACTTTACCTTAGCATGTCACAGGTCCAACATCAGTACTCTGTGCCTTTTAGTGAATGGCAAATGAGTTGCTAGGAAATGTTCATTCATTTGACCCATGTGACCTTGAAAGTTAGTCAATATCATTCATTTGATCAAACTTGGTAGTACTGCTTCCTAGCATACCACAGGATCAATATCAGTACTCTAGGCCTTTCCCAGTATGATATAGGCCCAATATCATAACCCCTGATATTTCCTTTACTGAAGAAGTAAGTTGAAGGTTTTTAATACATTTGACACCCGTGACTTTGAAAACGGGTCAAGGTAATTCAATTAAAGAAATTGGCAGCACTTTACCCTAGCATGTCACAGGTCTAATATCAGTACCCTGGGGGTTTTGGTCATTGAGAAGAAATGTTTTAACACATTTTACTCTTCTGACATTGAAAGTAAGCCAAGTTCTTTCATTTGAACAATTTTGGTAGCCCTTCACCCAAGCATGCTGTATGCCTAATATCAATACCCTCGGGCTTTTCGGTTATTGAAAAGATGTCGTTGAAAGATTTGAATATATTTTACCCCTGTGACCTAGACAGCGGGTCAATGTCATTCATTAATACAAACTTGATAGCCCTCCATCCCAACATGTTACAGGCCCAATATCGGTATCCTGAGCCTTTCCGTTATTGGAAAGAAGTTGTTTGAAGTGAAAAGTTGACGCCAGACGAACCTCAGAAGGACGGACGTCGAACACCACACCACCTGCGGGCCAAGGAGTGAATAATTATCAGAGAAACTATATTGATCTTACCCTATCGCTCTATTTTATGAGTAACATTGCGAATACCGTCTGCTATTCCTACGAGACGCGGAATATAGATAACATTTGTCCCTTACATGAATATTATATCTTAAATTGTCCTCATTAGCTAGATAACTTTCGAATGTAAAAATAGGGAAAGGAACACTATAAGGACATTTCAATAGCTGTAATTATCAAAATACCGGATTTGCAATGTGTGAGAAAAAGGAACTTTTTTTTAAAGAATGGACGTGTGAAGAGAATTTGATTGACTGAGAGGAATCATGTGACCTGGTGAGAAAGGTAAAAAAGGGAGCGTGAATGACATTCCTGTCATATAATCTTTATATCACAAAATCTGGGAGAAAACTCTTAGTTCTAGGTGCAGTAGAAACTCGTTGTCTCGAAATCGCTTGAGTCGGGCCATCGTACATACAATATACATACTTAATCACTGGCGAATAATTACCAATTTAATTATCAATTTAAAAGTTGACTTCTTAATACCTGTTGTAATGACATGAACTATTATAATAACTGCTCCCTATATAATATCTAAGTAAGGGATGCTCCCCAACAATTTCCGCTTCCGCCATAGTCAGCATGGCTACCACACATGTAAATGACCATCAGACAGAATACAGTCATATCAGTCTTTAAAACGGACTTGTTGAGTTATTGCATGGTGTCAGAAGTAACAGTAAATGTCCAACGTCAAGGATGAGTGATTATTTTCCTGCGCCGAAGCCATTTTCCTTAGATGGGAACATTTCAGAAAGTTGGAAGCGCTGGCTACAACAATATGAGCTATACATGTGTGCCACTGAGAAGGATAAGAAATCTGAGAAACTACAATGTGCCACTCTATTATCGCTGGCAGGAGAGCAAGTTATAGAGCTGGTAGGTACATTTAACTTCGGAGAGGAGGAAAAGGATAAGATAGAACCTTTGAAACAGAAACTTTCTGAATACTGCATTCCGAAAAAGAATGAAACATATGAGAGACATGTGTTTAATAGCAGGGTACAGAAATCCGGAGAAACATTTGATCAATTTCTAACAGAGCTCAAAGTTCTTTCAAAAGATTGTGGTTTCGGGAATCTGAAGGAAGGTCTGATTCGAGATAGAATTATAGAAGGGATCGGCAAAGATCAAACCCGGGCACGCCTGTTAAGGGAACGCGAGCTGAATCTGGATAAATGCATTGATTTATGTAGAGCCGCGGAAAGAACTGACGTACAAATGAAAGGTATCGTGTCAGAAAACACTACTGAAAAGAAATCCGTAGATTTGATAAAGAAACAGTCTCAAAAGAATCCCAACCAGAGTTCATACAAAGGAAAAGGCCCACGAGTCCCGAAACATAATACATCTCGATGTCAGAAATGTGGAATGGATCATAAAGGAAGTCCATGTCCAGCTAAGGAAAAAACTTGTTATAAATGTGGTAAAACAGGACATTACCAGAAACTGTGTAGGACAAGAACCAATTTTAACAACAACAATTTGAAAACGAAACCAAAACACCAACAGAAAGTACACTCAGTCGAGACAGATCAACAATTCTTTGTAGATGCAGTACATGACAGCAACAAAACTGATGATTCATGGATAGTTAACATTGATGTCAATGGATGTGCTATACCGATGAAGCTCGACACAGGCTCAGATGTCAACATTATGGGTATTGCAGATTTTAATAGGATCAACAAGCAATGTCATAAAATTAGACTTCACCAGTCAACAGTTAAATTGACAGCCTACAATGGAGGATCTGTCCCAACCAAGGGACAATGTGTACTGGACATAAAATACAAAGGTTTTACAAAGAAAGCGCTGTTTGTCATTGCTAGCAGTGTTGTTAAACCTATCCTAGGTAGAAAGCAGTGTGACAGTATGGGACTTGTCAAACGGGTACTGATGGTGGAAAAGGAGGACAGTGTAAAATCACCAGATATTTTCACAGAGTACAAAGATTTATTTGAAGGGCTAGGATGTCTTGCCGACAAAGTAAAGATTAAGTTAAAACCTGATGCAGAACCAGTAGTGGAACCCTGCAGAAAGGTACCATTTGCACTCCACGACCAGTTGAAACAGGAGTTAGACAGGATGGAGGAACTACAGGTTATAAAACCTATTGAGGAGCCAACTGAATTTGTAAATTCCATGGTAATTGTACATAAAAGCAATGGAAAGTTGCGTGTTTGCCTGGACCCCAGAAACTTGAATAGGGCTATATGTAGAGAACATTTCAAGTTACCCACTCGTGAAGAAATTATGGCGAAGTTTGCTGGTGCAACAGTCTTTTCAAAGCTTGATGCATCAAGCGGATTTTGGCAACTACAACTGGAGGAAAAAAGTTCCAAATTATGTGCCTTTAATACTCCATATGGTCGATATCGGTTTCTTCGTTTACCATTCGGAATCTCCAGTGCACCAGAGATCTTCCATAGAACTATACACCTTTTGTATGAGAACATGAGGGGCGTGGATACATCCATGGACGATATCATAGTATGGGGAGTTGATCAGGCAGACCATGACAGAAACTTGCGAAACGTGTTAGATAAAACGCGAGAAGCTGGGTTAAAACTACAGCGTGAGAAATGTGAAATTTCTGTGCCCGAGCTAACATTTCTTGGAGATAGAGTTACAAAGAACGGTGTTAAGCCTGACCTCGAAAAGGTCAAAGCTATTCAAGACATGGAAAACCCCAAGTGCAAAAACGATATTCAACATTTCCTAGGGATGATCAACTACTTAGCGCGTTTTATAAGAGACTTGTCAACGCATACAGCACTCTTGAGAGGTGTGCTAGATAAGAAAAACTGTTGGGAATGGACAGATGTTCATCAGAAATCGTTTGAGAATTTGAAAGAAATTGTCTCAAACAGTCCAGTACTTCAGTACTACGACCCCACAAAGTTGATCAGGATTTCTGCAGACGCAAGTCAGAAAGGACTTCTACAAAAGCACAACACCGAGTGGCTCCCTGTTGCGTATGCATCACGGGCATTGACGGACACAGAATCACGATATGCATCGATCGAGCGGGAAGCATTGGCGGTTGTCTATGCATGTGAAAGGTTCCACCAGTATGTGTACTGAGCAAAGTTTGAGGTCGAAACAGACCACAAACCACTATTAGCGATTTTTACAAAAGGTTTAAATGATTGTCCGCCCAGGATACAACGATTCCGACTACGGGTACAAAAATATGACGTAACCTTATTACATACACCAGGAAAGTATATGTACACTGCGGACACGTTGTCGCGAGCTCCAGTTCATGGTGAACAGTCCACAACCGAGAATGACGTTGAGGTATATGTTGATGGAGTCATGGCAAATATTCAAGTCGCAGATCGTAAACTTGAAGAGATACGTGTACAAACACAAAAAGATACAGTGCTCATTAGCTTAAAAAACACCATTATGGATGGATGGCCAGAGAGTCGCAGTGACTGTTCTTATGAGATACGACCATTTTGGAACTATAGAGATGAACTGTCAGTGATTAAAGGGATAGTATTCAAGGGATCCAGAGTGGTAATTCCTAAAAATCTCAGGAAAGACATGTTACAGAAAATACATGCTGGACATTTAGGCATGAGCAAATGTAAACAAAGAGCACGCGAAGTGTTATTTTGGCCTAGCATGACTGAGGACATAGAGAATTTGGTGAAAATTTGTGAACCATGTCAAGTTCACCAGAACAAACAGATGGCTGAACCATTGTTGTCACACCCGATACCGTCAAGACCATGGCAGAAAGTCTCAACAGACTTGTTTGAACTGGATAGAACCCCATATATTGTTGTCGTAGATGCCTTTTCTGGCTACCCTGAGGTGGTACAACTAACCAATCAAACCTCAACAGCGGTGATCCAAGTCATGAAGACTACTTTTGCTAGATACGGCATACCTGAACAGGTAATGAGTGATAATGGCCCTTGCTATAGTAGCAAGGAGTTTCTTAAATTTGCGGAGGAATGGGATTTTCAGCACGTGACTAGCAGTCCAGGATATCCGAAATCCAATGGTATGGCTGAACGAGCAGTCCAAACTATGAAATCCATTATTCGCAAATGTAAACAAACCAACCAAGATCCACACCTAGGATTATTGGCATACAGAACAACACCTATGGAGAATGGATTATCTCCTGCTGAGATGTTAATGGGTAGACAACTCCGCTGTAATTTGCCCATTGCAACTGGAAAACTAAACAAACCCGAAGACCACTATGTCATGTCGTGGAAAGAAAGACAGAGAAAAACACAGAAGTATTATCACGATCGGGTTGCAGTTAAAACGCTTGAACCACTCACAGAAAATACAAAGGTTCGACTTTGTGAACTAGGAGAAAGGAACTGGAGAAAATATGGAACTGTGATTGGTCCGGCAGGACCAAGGTCCTACAAGGTTAAGTTGAATGACAGAACAGCGAGACGAAATAGAAAGGATCTACGTGTAACAGATCCTAACCTTGAACGCGAACTTGATGTGGAACGTGAACCTGATGTTGAACGCGAACCGGAATTTGAAGTTGACTGCAAACCAGAACTTAACCCAGAGCCAGAACTCGGCAATAGTGACATTGAGACGAGTAACATGTACAAAACACGCAGCGGTCGTGTCATTAAAGCCCCCAAAAGGCTGATTGAGGCCTAAAGGAACTTGCCTTGTGTTATAAGACTGTATATATGTTAATGTTTTAGTAGTTGACTAGATAAGATAAATAACACAGAATACAATGGTGTAAAATGAACAATTTTAATTCAATTTGAATCATTTAAAATATTCATCATCTAGTCATATGTGAGCTTAACTAGTCAGTTTATATTGAGTTATTGTTAAAGTAGTTAAACCATGTTAGTTATTGTACATCTATTGACTGATTGGTGGCCATGTTTGATATTGTTAATAACATAGATCTTAACTTGAAAAAAGGGAGATGTAATGACATGAACTATTATAATAACTGCTCCCTATATAATATCTAAGTAAGGGATGCTCCCCAACAATTTCCGCTTCCGCCATAGTCAGCATGGCTACCACACATGTAAATGACCATCAGACAGAATACAGTCATATCAGTCTTTAAAACGGACTTGTTGAGTTATTGCACCTGTTACTATCATGCTTTAGCTTGTTCGCGTGCATCTTCAGGAAGAATGCTGTATATGTGATTGATCAGTTAGGGTATTGTACACGTGTGCGGGACGGAACGACGTGAATACAAATGTATTTGATTGGAGATGTTGCGAGGAATAAACAATAAAAGGAGAAAGTAGAAATAAATCTATTTGTGTATTTACTGTCATTTCAAATAACAGATTTAAACTACGCTGTTTGCGTGCTTTCGTAGCCCTACTTTGTTCAACCGTAAACTGATTTCGTCAAACTTATACCCTTCGTTTGTGTCGAAATTCGGATACGTCGAAATATTTTCCAAGGTTCCTTGAATTTCGAGATAACGAGTTTCGACTGTATGTTGATAAAGTTGTGTAGCTCTGTAATTGTTTCATGATGTTGATTTATTATTACATAATATATTACATATATATTATTTATATATATATATTATCAATATTAGGGAGTCAAGGATACTTAGTACTAAAGTAAACTATGACAGAGTATAACCAGTACAATTCAGGATATAGTAACTGTTACTGATATTTCTATATAAGGAATTATATAGTGTTCTTATTCTTTCATGATCTTTTCAGTCGATAAACAATTATATATACGGAGTACATGAATGCCTCCCACCACACTGATTTCTGACAGTATGAGTGATGATTGGCGATTGGCAATATCCCTGTTATACACAACATTATCAAATAATAGAACTACACAACGTGCGCACAGATGTGTGATAGGTTATTTCGTCCAATTTTCCTATCCTGCAAATACAGTGTGTATATCTTGTAACGTGTGCGATTTCACAAATTTACTTCCTGGTTATCGCAGTCAAGAGGTAACTTAGAGGTGCTAGATGCCTTCGGTAGAATACTCCAGTATGATAGCATTATTAAATTGGCTCTATTTCCGCACGTTCAGAAGGAAGCATACTTGAACATATTACAGCCTCCCAAAATCACACACGTTCACCATGTACTCTCAACGCATGCAGTGGAATGACGTCTTTTAAAGACAATTTCATTTTTTAGGACGCCAAGGGATATAAAGTAAAACCAAACGTTTGCATGGTACAAGTGACATAAATGTGAACACGCCTTTCACTAAGGCCGCAGCAAGTTTTTTTTTTTAACAATAAATTTCCAAGGGATACTAGCAATCAGTTTTACACGAAATGGATGAAGTAGACTGCATTAAGATTGTCAATGAGGCTATGTTTGAGCTGCCCTATCTGAACCAACGACAGACATGCCCAAAGAGATTATTTCATAATTATTTCGTGAAATTATTTCAACCTTTCGATGGTTTTTTATGTTGAACTTTGTATGCCTTCGTTTATAAACGATAAAGGTGTGTCTGCATGAAAAGGAACGTGTGATTTAATAATCATATTGTAAAAGGATTAATAGATGCGTAAACATTTATACTTCCGGATTTAAAAAAATCTTGTTTGGACGAACGCTCGACACTAAATAGAAAACTGACCTGTCGCCAAAAAAACAAGAATATAACGACATGTCAGCAACATATTAATTCAAACTCAAAAACGATGAAACGAAAGATAAATATAGAAAGAAAGAAGCATTCATGCAGAGACCAATGGAAAGTCTAGGAAAACAAGATTTTTTTAAATCCGGAAGTATAAATGTTTACGCATCAGTCATAAAACCACGTGGAATGTTGGGAGGACTAATCACAGTAGTAAGGATGAACAGAAGATACGAAAACCCTTCATGTACATTGTCATTTACGATTATTATATTCTATTACCATACCAGCTGGTACATACTACTTGTACTGCAGCCACGACTTAACTCTCGACAATACAGCTGTAGTTTCCCTCTTTATGCTGTAAGAAACGGCTAATGCCGGAACACACTGCCAAATTGGGAATAGTGGTGTACTTAAAATGATTGTGCTTTCGCGGTTTTTATATTTCAGATAACTGTTCACTCGTTAGCAGTTAGGGAAAAATAAGCGTGTTACATCTGCATGCAATTTCCATTCAAATGGAAGCGTTTTTGACAGTTGAAGCGATCATAGGAACTTACCAAAATTTGTTATTCTTTTGGTTTTACATAGAATATACCTTGAACGATCTGTTGTGCTAGACTACATCTTTTTACCGTCTGCCTTACTTGAAATATTTCTACTTTATCTTGAGTTAAGTAGCCTCCATATCTTCGAAGACTTTAGGTCGTCTAAACCATTCTACTGAAAATGTTTGACGACCTCTGTTTTTGTTGTAAGCTTTCAGGGTATAGTTAGTTATTACGTTGCCAGTGTAACGCGAGAGGGTTAATTATGTAACCATTTCAAGGTTACAACACTAATAGATGATGCCACTTTGAAGAGAAACTCTTGATTTTACGATGTCTGCCAGTCGTTAACAAATATTACACACATAAAAGGTCCTATAATTGATAATTGCGGGATCCTCGAAGTTACATTAGCCCATTATGAGTTTTCTCTATTCACTTTTTAGCTCTTGCCTATCAAACAAGATGAGATCCATAAAATTATTTGATATAAGGAACGGTATCAAATGCCTTTTGGTTATCCATAAAAATAAAGTCTATTATTTGCCCATTATCTCATTATCTAGGGATTCAGTCTGTTTATCCATTACATCCAGAAATTTCGACGAAAGATAAAAATTGCCTATCATGAATTGAAATATGTGTTCCCTTAGAGCAGTTTCCATGGCGTTGCCATAACAGACATTAGACTGACCGAATATCCAACGTTTATCTCCGTTTTTTAAAACAAAATCAATCTTCTGGTGGCATTATTGTTGATAATGATTGTAAATATATATAAGTGAATCCGATATTTCACTTCCTATGAAATTTCTTTATTTTGACCTCGTCCATCGTATATGCAAACTAGAAGTTCAAATCAAAGACTCTTCTCTGTCAGCAACTTATCTCGATATTTTTCCCTACAACGAAACCAACATAGACAGCATTCCACCTAGCTTTATGATAAACGTGATGATTTCAATTTCCCTATTGTATTTTTCCCACTTTTTTGGGAGCAACACCCCTGCATCTCCAAACTTTGGTGTATAATCGTTGGCAGTTGGTTTGATATTCTAGAGCGAGCTCCGATTATCACAAAGTTTAGGCAGAAAAAAGTCGTCAAATTACGGACAAACCCGTGATACTGGTGTTCGTATTTTGCTTGTACTTTTGCAGGAATCTAACCATGGCCATTTGCTTTATCAAATAATTTTAGCAGTTTGCGGACTGCCTCCTTCGTCATAACTATTGTCATCGTTTCTTCTTCCATCGTTACATTAGATCATTGTTGTTTCTCTGAAGGGCAACTGCAGGAGATGTGGTGATATGCTATAAGTCAGCCTTAAAGTCGAGGAGGAATTCTGTTAATCCGTAGTCGAGGAGGAATTCTGTTAATCCGAAGTCAGTTGCATACATTTGGTAAAAGCCAAACCAATACAGGCATAACTTTTGTGTTTATATGTGTAATGATCTTTGCTCATGTTATCAAGACACTTTCAACATTTCCTAATGACATTTACAATTAACATATTACAATGTATCCTCCATTTCCATTCATGTTTAACAAATAAACAGCAGGTAACTGATATATAGCTCTCCAAACAACAGGTGAGATAAACATGAAACATAGTCTTATTACAGTACAAATGGTTATAGTGGTGCATTCATCTGAAACTCCCATCATACATGAGATTTAAATACAAATCTATCCCATCTATTATAAATATATAAAACGTTCAAGTTTACAGTAAGGAAAATATGCATACAGTTTTGGGCGTCAAGATATATATGCCTCTTCTGTTTTACTTGGATCTGAATTCGACAAAACTAGCTTAACTACATTCGAAAAGTACTGGAAGGACATTTGCAATTAAGAGTATAGGTACACCAGTAAATCCACATGTTATTTTATGAGTAATCCGTGTAGTGTAACAAGTAATAATAGTATCTGTTAGTAGAAAAGAGGGTTGTATTTAAGATCTTTTCAATATAAAAAATATCCAGTTCAGTTAATCCGTAGTCGAGGAGGAATTCTGTTAATCCTTAGTCGAGGAGGAATTCTGATAATCCGTAGCCGAGGAGGAATTCTGTTAATCCGAAGTCGAGGAGGAATTCTGTTAATCAGTAGTCGAGAAGGAGTTCTATTAATCCGTAGTCGAGGAGGAATTCTGTTAATCAGTAGTCGAGGAGGAATTCTGTTAATCTGTAGTCGAGGAGGAATTCTGTTAATCAGTAGTCGAGGAGGAATTCTGTTAATCCGTAGTCGAGGAGGAATTCTGTTAATCCGTGGTCGAGGAGGAATTCTGTTAATCCGTTGTCGAGGAGGAATTCTGTTAATCCGTTGTCGAGGAGGAATTCTGTTAATCCGTGGTCGAGGAGGAATTCTGATAATCCGTAGTCGAGGAGGAATTCTGTTAATCCGTAGTCGAGGAGGAATTCTGTTAATCCGTCGTCGAGGAGGAATTCTGATAATCCGTGGTCGAGGAGGAATTCTGTTAATCCGTAGTCGAGGAGGAATTCTGTTAATCCGTTGTCGAGGAGGAATTCTGTTAATCCGTGGTCGAGGAGGAATTCTGATAATCCGTAGTCGAGGAGGAATTCTGTTAATTGGTAGTCGAGAAGGAATTCTGTTAATCCGAAGTCGAGGAGGATCTATTTTAATCCGTAGTCGAGGAAGAATTCTGTTAATCAGTAGTCGAGAAGGAGTTCTATTAATCCGTAGTCGAGAAGGAATTCTGTTAATCCGTGGTCGAGAAGGAATTCTGTTAATTGGTAGTCGAGAAGGAATTCTGTTAATCCGAAGTCGAGGAGGATCTATTTTAATCCGTAGTCGAGGAAGAATTCTGTTAATCAGTAGTCGAGAAGGAGTTCTATTAATCCGTAGTCGAGAAGGAATTCTGTTAATCCGTGGTCGAGAAGGAATTCTGTTAATCCTTAGTCGAGGAGGAATTCTGTTAATCCGTGGTCGAGGAGGAATTCTGTTAATTGGTAGTCGAGAAGGAATTCTGTTAATCCGAAGTCGAGGAGGATCTATTTTAATCCGTAGTCGAGGAAGAATTCTGTTAATCAGTAGTCGAGAAGGAGTTCTATTAATCCGTAGTCGAGGAGGAATTCTGATAATCCGTTGTCGAGGAAGGATTCTGTTAATCCGTAGTCGAGGAGGAATTCTGTTAATCCGTAGTCGAGGAGGAATTCTGTTAATCTGTAGTCGAGGAAGAATCCTGTTAATCCGTAAGTACGCATACGTATGAAAAATACTTTGATGCATAACGAGAGAATAATTATGGTATCCAACAGTCCAACAGATGGGTGAATGAATCATTACGCATGCTACGTTTTGAGGGCTAATTATGGGTTCTAATGAGACGTAAAGCATTTTTAAACAGTACTAATATGTAGTGCGACTGTTTGTGGTATTCACTATTTTATTATCATGCTGTTACATACATTAAATTTTATAAGACAATTGTTAAGTCTTACTAGAGACACCATCTATATAATCTAGTCGTGAACACAATCATAAGTTGGAGTTTGAAAACCTCTTAGATTTAAATTTCTTTTAAAATATTGCGAATATGCATGATGGAAAAGAGAAGGAAGTTGTGTAGAAAAATATGCAGATGTAGTAATTCATTGGAAAGTAATCATATATATAAAGATTCGGTTAGATTGGTGAACAGCTTTCGGATGAGGGGTGCGTACGAACAGATAGGATGGATATAGAATTACTTACATATGTAATAACGTTGAGGAAAATGTCATGTAGAAAGAATATATATATATTTTTTTAATTTATAATTTTTTTATTCATATTTTCGTCCATACATAGTACAATACACAAGATCATTAATATTCCTCATCAGCATTTACACACACTTTCACGCTACACATCGTAATATCCTAAATTTTAAAGTTGTACATATGTATTTCATGATAGAAGAAATTGGAAGAATATTAGCTGATAATTGACAACTTTTTACTGAAAAGCTTATTAAACATATAGGTGTTTCGTTCATTTAGGTAAAAAAAGTGCTGATAATTTCACTTAAAAATCCTTGCCATTCTTCATCAGAATTAAGCGATGGCATGCAAGGTTAAAACAATGCGTTATCATAACTGATCAAGAAACCTCGAAGTCTTGCATGAGGTGATAAAATTATATGAAGAACAAAAGAATGAAAATACTGAAAAAACGAATTTATTGCTCAGGAAAATTTTTCCATTTGACATTAAACTTTCGATTCTTTCTTTTCTAAATTAAAACATTATTTATAACTATGCCTGAAAAATGCTGAAGATCTGCAAAACGCATCAAGCATGGAAATATGATTTAAAACTGATATTTTTTGTGGAATAGACGCCTAGCACTAACGGCAATAGCTGAGGAATCAGTTTCTTGTCGCAACCGTTAATGAACTAATTGATCTTAAAATACCTGCATATAATTGAACGAGAATCTGCTTGATCAAATCTCAGAAATACACCCTGTAGGTGTAGAGCAAAAATGACGCATAGAGCACTCGTTATCATTATAGTTATGCGATATCACATTTCAAAAATGGATCCGACCCGTACATATCACAGTGATATGAAATATAGTGGCGTCATATACACTGCCACATTACGGATTTTCTTTCGAATTTTTCGTCACAAATTAATCATATTACAGTATACCAATTCGATGTTACACCAAAATAAAAACTTGATCATGTATCAGTAGATACGTTGACAGCAATATTGTCATGTCTATGAAGGTAATGGAACCCCAATCGTAATGAAAAAGCCACCATTATACTTTTAAAAATCAAGACACTTCTTTTACAGCTAAAATGTCCTTCAGAGCAGACTGAAGATTGACAGAAATCATAAAAAGGTGATAAATATCAGCGATTCCGCATATATGCAATGTTTTCATGTTTTTCTAACTGAATTTCGTATGGTGTAATGTTATGTCCCAAACAACTAACATGAAATAATTAGCTGACTTTTCCATTGACAAAGGCGGTCGGAAACATGGCATAGGAAATATATCAATCAGTGAACAAGACAACTTAAATGTGCAATTATCTTTTCGCAACATCTTCGTTATGAATACAAGATTATGGACAGTTTAAAAAATCCGTTATATATTACAAATAATTAGCAGTCATCAGTTTTGAGTATCTTACGTACACACATGTTAGAAATATATGTTATTATATTAACTTCTATATCAAGGGTACTGGTATCATCTACATGTTTAGCAACCTTTGTAAAACTGTGTATATCATATATTTATATATACAATATATAAAATTAAAATCATTAATCATACACGTTATATCAAAAAATGAATGTCATAATTCCATTTAAAATATAAATGAAACTAATTGTTGAAAAAAGATAGTGTATACGTTAACAATTCTTTAATATATCACACTTGATGGTGTCATGTATATTTGAATTAGAAAAAGAGAAAAAGGCATGATAATATAGGCTAATGGTGACTTGACAACGATATCACATATCTAAGTTTCAAATATAGAACAAGAGGGACAGGAAACATGATGCAGAACGTTGCCGATCCTTGTCGACTTCGCAATCATACATTTCCAGGTACGTAATTTTTTTGAAAATAAAAGACAAAGTTCGTGATTTGTAATTACCTTGAATTTTACTGCGTTACTAGCCGACAACTCAAGTAAACGGTTTTTTATCAGTTTGTCTGGGTAAAAGCCAAACCAATACAGGCATAACTTTTGTGTTTATATTTGTAATGATCTTTGCTCATGTTATCAAGACACTTTCAACATTTCCTAATGACATTTACAATTAACATATTACAATGTATCCTCCATCTCCATTCATGTTTAACAAATAAACAGCAGGTAACTGATATATAGCTCTCCAAACAACAGGTGAGATAAACATGAAACATAGTCTTATTACAGTACAAATGGTTATAGTGGTGCATTCATCTGAAACTCCCATCATACATGAGATTTAAATACAAATCTATCCCATCTATTATAAATATATAAAACGTTCAAGTTTACAGTAAGGAAAATATGCATACAGTTATGGGCGTCAAGATATATATGCTACTTCTGTTTTACTTGGATCTGAATTCAACAAAACTAGCTTAACTACATTCGAAAAGTACTGGAAGGACATTTGCAATTAAGAGTATAGGTACACCAGTAAATCCACATGTTATTTTATGAGTAATCCGTGTAGTGTAACAAGTAATAATAGTATCTGTTAGTAGAAAAGAGGGTTGTTTTCAAGGTCTTTTCAATATCCAAAATATCCTGAACATATTATGGATATCGTACTTTATATCTTACAAACGTAAAACAAATCGAACGCAAAAAAATATAAAGAATCTGAATATATGGTATCAAATATAAAGCTGCATCTATACTGATACCCTTATCAAGATGTAAAGAATATGTGGTTTTTAATAGTTCATGTCTTAAATATATGGGGAAAAAACCCCAATATATTCCGTATAAAATGACAGGCAGGTAGTTATGTAAGCTAATTTAAAAGGAAAAGAAAACAACATAGCTATCAGCATAAAAATAGTATGTAATCTTACGAAGCAGATTTTCGGGTTATCGATAACAGTTTAGTATTAGCGGGATACGAATATTCAGTTGCATTTTTGTTTTATCTAATCAGCTGTTGCCAATGTCAATTTCCGCAGGAGTGTCATTTCATTATATCTAATATGCATCCATTGTGTGACCTTAATGACCTTTCATAATTAGTTTGCATCTGACACATTATCACTACTCATATTGGGAATAATTGCAAGTTATTGGGACTGAAATCTCACATAAGCTTTAATGTAATATTCTCCAGTAACTCTTTTCAAGAATAGCTTGAACCCAATTCCTCATCTATCTAAAACATGTCGCGTGGCCTTGAGTTAGACTAGTAATGACATGTTTTCATGTAGCAAAACATGTCCCTAGATTCGCACATTCATAATTGGCCTCAGGCAGTGGTCCAGTTTTCCAAGGTTATGAAATGAATAAATTTCACATTATTACACCATCCGTGGCTTTTATGCGATAACATTTTGGCTTGATTTCTACGATCCCCTTGTAATCAAATATTTTGGCGGTCCGTCAATTGGCATTTAATGCAAGCAGTAGTTTTTGAATACAACACATTATGTAATCTCGGTGTGATTTGTCATATAAAACAGTGTGATGACGCAATTTGGCTAATTTTCAGCGATTAAGGCAAATCGAGTTTCGCTGATGCATGAATTTCCTGAAAAGTTAAAGGGCCTTTACAATGTTGTTATTCTTAATTTCGGTTTGTTTGCATGATTATTATTACGTAACAATAATTGGTTCAAAGCAGAAACGTAAGGCTCAAGCTACGTGATAACATGTAGTCGTGATTTTATAATTAACAAAGTCATGTAATAAGCTGTAAGTATGTCATTGAATTTCAAAGTATATAAATGGAGGGACGTGTTATTCTTATTAAATCTTAAAAACAATTTCGATGTAATTGCGAGTTAGTAAGATGACGAAATACCAAGATGACACAATGGTTACCATAACTGCGTTACAGTTGTCAAGACTGAACAGAACTCACACGATACGCTGTTACGCGAAACACGTATCTTGCACATATTTTGTTAAAATTTGCATATAGTAGTTCAGGGAATCTTTGAGATACAAAAGTCATTATACCATACTAAATCCCTAATATCGTTGGATAAGATTTACAAAATCTCAATGAATGTTTAAATGTATGAACACCTCATTTTGAATATTGGAAAAAAATCGTTCTCAAAATAACAAAAAATAAATCGTCCTTTTCCTTTTACGATATATTTAGTAACGTATATATATTGCTTCTTATCACATACGCATGTCGATATTAGATGTGTACCTTGTGTATTGCTAAGGGAGATAACTGTAACACAGGGATAAGTATACTGGATAAGATAACATTTTTGACTAGCTTGTGAATTTGGAATGTGGAATATTTATGTTGGATTAATTTCTTTCATCAACCACATCATGAATTCTGTCATTTGTGTTTATGTATCATTCAGATCTCCTCCTACGCTCCAAATCTTTCATACATGACATTTGTCGCCGTTCATCAATGGTTCGTTCGTCTTTAAATCAACATCATTGATATCTGGTTTTGATTTTCGTGGTCTGAAAAGAAATTAATATATAGGCAATGAAAACGTGGGAGTGTACTCATAATTAATTATGAATATATTAGTAGATGATAAACACACGATCAACACCATTATCACAAAATCAACGATTCTTTGGTGTCCAACAAATACATGGCATGTGTCAGCTAAAGCCATAAGCATTTTATGTTCAATGTTGTCCATAATGGGTTTGATAAAGTTACATTATCATTACTTATGTATCACAAAGAGGAAAGACTTTCATTGTATTAAGATATCGTATAAATATGGACACTGAAAAACATGTAAAACTAACATATCCAACTAAGGCAACATCTCTATATCGGCTATTCATATTGTAAATAGGCTGTATTGGTTTGTGCAGTGCATAACCCTGTCCATACATCTTTCAATAAGACTAAATGGGAACATATTTGATAATCAAGACAAAAAAAAAAAATTGTAAAAATACTTTAAGAGCAGTTGTATTGTATCGTTTATTATTTAGCTATACTATATCAAACTCAAACGCAGTCCCCTCAGTTTGCCTTAGCCTGCCTTCCATGTTTTCATTCATTCGAATAGTGACACGGGTCAGCATAAACACGTCTACTGGACGTTCTACTGAAATTATCAGGGTTATGAGAATACAAAATTAATTAAAGGCCTAGTGTACCTCCCAACATAAATTTGGACATTTCTTAGTATCAATTTTGATTGTTTAAGACTACGAAATTTTAGCATTATCATCACTGAGGATAAAACGAAAAAAAACCAAGAGGCAGTTTATTTCAATCACTGGCTGTACGTATTTGCTCTATACTAAACGGTGATATTCACTTGTGTTTTTGTACATTATTACCATTCGTATGTGAGTCTTTTGTGCAGTCTTTGAATTGTACGGTGCGAAGTGCTAAATATAGGATACTATTGTACAATACTTTCATTAGGAAGGAAGTTTTTTCATGCATTTGCTAACTACTATCAGTCAATATAAACATATATTCTATTTAACTTACTGTGGCATAGAGTCTGCGATAGTCTCTGGTAGATTTTCATGCAGTGTTTCTGGAAGGCAAAATGCCAGTAAGCCCGATATTATTGCTCCTAGACCGAATACGACCATTGGAAGGGCTCGTCCGACATCTCCTTCTACACTTTCAACCTATAATCATAAGATTCGTTACTCTTTGAGTAAAAAAATAAGTTTTTTTTTTTTTTAATACAGAAGAAGATTGATGTCCGATGGGTTTTCATGAATGTCAGTGAAACCTGAAGTGCGATTCGGAAAGCCATTTGTTACTTTAATAAATATGTGTATATCCGAATATTTACAACTACATCAAATAGATACAATACCAGCTACTTGGTTCACGTTTTGTCTCCCTTGGTATAATGTACCATTATCGTAGATATGGATTGTTATGAGTTTATGTTGCGTGTTACCGAATCAAATCACCTTGTATTTTTGTTTACTGGTAATATATCTATCAAACAAACACCCAAAACAAATCTTTGCTTTTACAGTGCTATTACAAGGACCGCATAGCAATCACTACTTCTCTGATGTATTACAAAATTACGATCGGACTAGGCCTATTTCATCGTCTTTGATGGTGACTCATTCATTCGCTGTCCTTGTCTTTTGTTAAGATGTTAAACAAGCTTGCAATACATTCCCGTGTGTGTTTTGTGTAGATCACACATGCTTCTCATCCTTTTGTTTTATATAACTGACTGAAGTAACCTGCTACCGAGTCCATGCTTCAACACGTCTATGAGATCATAGTTGATTGTCGGATTAAAGAAACTGTAGCACAATTTGACAAATGAAAGATTAATACCGAAACAAATTTAAAGAAAGAATCAGTTAAACAAATGAATGCTAAAAAAACAACTTCATTTTACAAAACAATATTTGCAAAGGACATGTATTCTGCTTCGCGTTCTGATTGTGTAGGTTTTATTATTCTAATTAAAGTAGAAATGCTTTCATGTTGTCGACACTAAGTATTTATCTAACGGCAATAACTCTGTAAGTACACCAAGCATCGTCTTAGTTAGACCAAATTATGCACCAAGTTTCATGATGCTTGCTTAACTTTAATACATGAAAAAGGCGATGTTTTCAGAAGAGTATACTGCATGGTGTTGTGAGTAACGAAGACGTCCAAGTCCTAAGCAATAGCATCGAACCTCCCGTCAGAATCTAATTGTTTGGACGCGGACAACAGCCAAAATCAATACTTTTACACCGAGATATCATCAATATTAATATGTAAGATAGTGCCGCTGTTAAGGCTAAGGAGGTTATGCTGTGATAACAAGAATTTTACTCACGAGATCTACGATATAAGGCGACAGCATCCCGCCGACTCTGGCACAGAATGAAGCAGCCCCCATAGCGGAATTCCGGATGACTGTAGGAAATAACTCCGCAGAAAACAAAAGGACGGTAGCAAACGCTGCAGAGGCCCCAACTTTTCCGATCGTTGCTAACAAAATAGCAACCCATTGTGTCTCTGAAATAAAGAAAATGATGTGTTTAGTGAAAGGAATGACGATGAATTTCGCTAGCGGGAAGTATCTTTTCAGTGTTGACATGAAAGGGTAGACAAATTGTGACAGCTTGTTAGATATTGCTTTTAAACGTTAAATTTCTCTCCCAGCAGATCATCTCCTGCAGTGTTTGGTATCTTGAAAAAGACCGTCAAGTTAACAACAGGAATATGAATTAAAACTCGGCGAAACTATGGCCAAATATAAGGTTAAAAGGAAATATTTACACGGACATTCTCCTGCTTAATTGACGACAAACGCCATGTAAAACTTGGTCAATCAAATAGTAATGTCACGTTCTCAATAGAAAAGAAGGATCAGAGAAGTAGGACTCTTAATGATTCGTTAACAAATTGATTTATACAAAAGTATAGATATGAGATACAAGCAAAGTTTCAGGTAAATTTTATCGGTAGTTGTTACTTATCTAAAGACTATCAATAATAATAATCAAGATTAAATACATAAATAGTCGGGATCGTTAAAACAGCTCAGACCTGTACAAAACCTATCTTTGTTCTCAGAATTTTTACCAACAATCACTACCAAAACGTCTTCTATCGGCGTTTGTACGCATTTTAATGTATGTGATTTCAGTGGTTAATGATGAAGCTAAAAACGTAAATTATACTGCTCATACGCAAAATGTATTAACCTAAAGTATCAATGAATGTACTACATATTTATCAAAGACTTTGAGGTATGATAGCCAGAGTTCTGTAGGGATCCCCGTACTCCTCTAAGTATGTAACGAATATGAATAGTGTTTGTGAGATTCTGTTAACATGTATAATCCGTATACTGATTGCTTGAATTCGTGAGTTTGTGGGTTTGGTATTGCTTTCGCTTGCGCGAACAAGACATAATATACGGAAATGAAAGAAACACACTGAATCAACACTAATTATGTGATATATCTGGGTATAATTGGCGGCATCAATCAGTCAAATCGACCAATCTAATTTTTTGTTAACAATAACCCACTTTATTTATCATTTGTACTTATGTTTACGACTTAACTGGACACGGGTTTCAAAACAGTCTGCTGCCAAACAGGTGTGATAGGTGCCCGAGGAATACTACGTTTTACGCTTAGCAATCAGTGTTGCCGTCTACATGTACCCGAGTTATCCAGGAAGCCACACCGTCAAAGACATGCATTCGTTATCTTAGATTCGTTACACACATATGTATTTGAAACTTTACATGCGAATGAGAAATCCAAATGAACCATGTTATCGGCATTAATTCGCTTTACCGTGTTCATTATAAACGTGTTTTACTGTATAATGTACCATGTAAGCTTATTTACATCTAATTTTCATATTTTTATTATCCATTGATGTTGTTCCTATCATAATGAGACGCTGGCTGCAACGGAAGCAAATCTTACAGAATAAATCGATCAAAACGCATATTCTATCAAGCAGAAGACCTTTACTCTTTCCAAACATCTGACCTGATTTTAAAACAAGGGTCGTAAACGTTCTTAAGTTTGTCCTATTTTCATCTGTTTTGAGTATGGATTGTGATTGTTTTGATGTCGGTAGCATTTGATGATCAGCTATGATGAAATGCAAGCTCAACAGATATTTCTCAACCAGTGAAAAATTTACTCACGTTGTGCTAGTAGTACCAAGTTTCAAAAGAGTCATTTCAAATAACAGCTGCTATACTGCGTACTTCAATGTTGCATGTGTTGATATTCATACACATTTTCGTCATCCACATAGCTATACAGAACGCCTGATATTTGAAACGAATTATTCAAAATAACTTATATGGAAACCAAGAAAAATGACACACGAAGTGCCACGAAAAGTTATATATAGGAAATATCTTTAGTATTTAATTGACATATGTGTAGTATAACATGGTTCTCCTGTAGATTTATTCTTCCTAAGGGACATCAGAAAAAATATCATTCTTGTATTTCAATACCATACATTCTCAGATCAGTCTTCCTCTGGGACATCAAGCACATGGACTACAAATAAGCCTCTAACCACGCGATCGTTAAACCTGTCTTTCATATGGACACTGGACAATCCTAAGCTTTCTATTTGAGAGTTATATGCAAATAACATATTAAACATCAAAATGTCTCCATCGTTGCCATTGTAGCATCCTTCCGTGCTTTCACACCCGTTGTCCGCTTAACATCCGTCTTAGTATGACGCCAATTATTGTGAGGGAACAGGCATAAATACATGACGTTACCCAGGATGTTTTTATGTCATGATAGATAATGGAATTCGATTTCCATAATTAGTTGTCGCTTACATCAACCTACATTCAGTACTCCAGTGGAAACTGAATCTCGTTGTGATCAAACGGTTAGGTGAACGAGTTACTTTTGAATTACTTTGTTTTACTTAGAAAAGACAATAAACAATTAATCTAGTCGTATACGTGCCCTGTTCCCGCGACAGTGAGAAAAGGTGTTATTTTTGTGAGAGTTACCTCCCTTCTATGACCGTAATATCATGCTGTGGAACGACCTCTATCTCCAACTACGTTTTATTATACTAGAATGTCATTTATTTTTCATTCATACAGAAAATTTATTACATTTGCTCTGAGTATATTTACCAGGATATATGGGGTTTTTTATTCGGTCTTTCTGTTTTTCACTGGTTATGTAAGTATCCTGTTAAATGAGGATTTACAATTTTGCAATCTGGAACTGATTGAATTACTAATTCAACGAAACATCAAAGGAACTTTGTCTAACGTCAAAATGATGACAAAACAGTAATGCAGTCGAAAACTCATATAAACGATCAACTAATCAATAATTAGATACAAAATTAGATTTACGCTACGAGGTATGATTCTTACTTTTCATTTTTTTCAGCCCGATATATATATTTTTTTTATTTATTTATTTTATGCCTGGTTATGTGTTTGATTTCGTTCGGTTCGTCATTTCTTTCGGAGTCTACTTCTTTAAACGAAATGTTGATTTTTAACCTTGAATACAAGTACAACCATCAACTACAGGCAAAGCTGAAATCTTACCTGCTTAACCAAAAAAGAAAAGAAATAAAAAAAATCGAAATAGATTCAAATTGCGCAATAAACATAAAAAAATTTGGAATGTAGTTTTCTAATATCAGTTATGCTAACAAGGCAATAACGTGTCATAGCACATATGTCTCGTTACGCGTGTCATATTCGTCAAAACGTCACAGATCATGGAAACAGATGGAGAGTGGTGAAGTCATCTGAGATGTTTTTCTTGCGGCATCGAAAAAAACTTCCAAAACCTTGGGTCCAAATTTAGCCCATTAGCATCACTGTCGAATATTTAGAACGTCGAAACAGCTGTATGGTTAGCTTTCTTCATCTTTGGTTCACATGTATCTAACTCTAGATTTGAATAAAAAAGGTGATGGTATTCACTTGTGTGTTTTTTACCGTCATGAACAACTCATGCATGTCATTTTATTCCTTTTGCACAATTTGTCCTATTATTACCGAAACAAAGGGCTTGTAACTATTCGGCCCATAACAGATTATCGATGGTATTCAAGCATGGTATTCGGCATATCGTAGTCAACATTGATGCTGCTTAATTGTTGTTTAATTGGTCACTGGTAATAGATAGTCTTTTGATTGAGAGAAACATTGCACATATTTATTCTACTTTTATCGCCTCCCTTTAACAAAAGAAATCTATTTACGTATTTCAGCCTAGAACCTGACAGGGTATTAGTTATCATTGCCAGTGTGACAGTTCTAGATTTGTGTTTTTCCTCACATTATCTTCCGACCTTCAGATAATGAAAATAATTGAAGGTATCATAATACGAGCAAATGATCAGATAAATACGTCAAACTTATCATCAATACAAAACATTAACGAATCTCTGCAAAAAACAATTCAACTGCCAACAATTAATCGTAAAATACGTCATATCGTAAGGTTAAAGTGCATTAACTAAAGAAAAAGTAAATCTTACGTCACGGAAATATATAGTCCCTAGTATATATTTCAATTCTAACATCAGTTTCCCGTTGAATTCTATGTAAACCAGATGGGAGTTTAACAGGCTATGATACACATTCCGCGGTCAAGGTGAGACGTTCACCAAAATGTAATATACCAATGTAACATTATTACTATATCAAATTGTAATATATGAAACTAATACTATGATTTACAGTGATTCGGACCCAGTCGGTGTCAGAATAAATAAATCTAGATGTCTCCAAGGCAAACAAACTGAGTGCCGGTACTTTCAGGATCAATAGCTTATACGGTGTACTGACCTATCCGAAGCTGTTGGACGTTAGTACGAGGCCTTCACAAAAATCTGTATCTTTACTAAGTTATCAAATTATAACAGAACAACTTCCAGACAAACATGTACTTTTGCCACAAAATCGCTATCATTGCAAAAACATGCGAGATTACCAGGGTTGTCTACTTTGTCTGATAGACGTCGATCTGACAGTCTTAATTACAAATGTCCCAATCCGTTACAAACAGGTCACTTACTGACAGGATCGACTTACATTTATAATTCATAATCATATAAATCCACCTGACGACACCAAAACGTAAGCAATTCCTAAACACTAGACACATATCTCTTTGTGAAATCGGACAGAGAGCCGCTTCACCCTTTAAATGAATTATCAATGCGCAATAAACTGCTTTTATTTCAAACAAACGAGAAACAATAACTTTTTTCAAACAATTGGGATACTGTACACTGTTATATCAACAAATTTGTTACCATACTTTATCATTTGATGGCCACCTATGATAACATTCTTGAATTTGAGCTTGCTAAATTAAACGACGTATTCATGGTTTGATTTTTTTTTTTTTTTTTTTTTATAAATATTTAAACATGAATAATAAAATGTTAACAGATGGTATATACGACTGAATACCTCATCTGCTAACAGCTTAATTCCCCGATCAAGAAAACACATTAAAAGCCAAAATTGCGTTTTGAGTGCACATAGAATCTGTCAGTGCGGTATCACTGGATGGTGTATTGTCATGATAGGTTACCCAGGTAATGGTATCTAAGTATGCTGTCGTGATACCTTCCATCAATATATCTTCAACATTTGCGACTAATTTGAATTTCTTAATCAGCAATTTTTCGAACCGAATAATCCACAGACAATATCCGTGTTTGCCTTCTGCTGTTGCGAGTTAGTTAACGGAACCCCAGACATAGACTCTTGGTGTTCATCATCAATATTTAAGCTTTTATCTAGTGCTTTCGATCAAGATAAATCAAAAGAATCGTCATATTACTTACCTTGAGTGCCGAATATCACAGGAAATACTGTGCATATACAAAACACCCCGGCACTAACAACAGATGTGATGTAGACTGGCCTCCGACCAAATTTGTTAAGGACGAAAAGCAGGCTGAGGAAGCCAAGTAATTCGGCCAAACTGATGAAGAAGAAGTTGAGGAATATGTTTCCACTGATGTTTCCAACGTTAATGCTAAGTCCGTAAAATACCATACTGCATACCGTCCTGAAGTCAAAAGGAGCGTTCATCAGTAAAAACAGTGTTACACATCCCTGTACTATCTGTTAACAGGAAGACTGATTAATCATTTTTATCTCTCAATCGCCTCTTGTTTACCCTAATTCAAACTGACCTATCATCTTCACTTGAAATCGTAATCATATTATCGGCATTTTCATATTATCGGCATTTTTTTTTTTTTTTTTTTAAATATTTACAGTTTTGAAACCAAAACTCTGGAAACAAAAGATGAAGGCTGTCTGTACAATTGATATTTCGACCGTTGGTCCTTCAAATTTGTTTTCTGTCTGAAATGTTTTGGAAAGGAAAGGGGGGATTGTAAATGTTTAATACTGAGATATCGACAAGTAAATAACTTCATATATCTTAATAGATATTTACTTCTTTCTTTGTTTCTTGGTTTTATTTCTTAGTTTTCATACGACTGGAAGAGGATGGCTGATCTACCGCAACTTTTGATTTTGCTGTTTGCAGTAAACTCTTGTCACCTACACTAAATGCAGCCTGACACTGGCGAGAACACAGCAAGACCGGTCGGGCAATATCAGGCTGTGTTAGACTGTAAATAGTACTGCTGGTAATGATAGCGAATTTCAATTTGCCAAATGAAAGCGGAGAAAGAAAAAATAAGACCACCAAAATGTTTTAAATATAGCGAAGCATACGATCTGATCAGGTTAGTGAAGACGATAAACGTATTAATCTTTATAACGGAATCCATGAGTTATGGGTACGTTACAGCAATGTTGTTCACAGCATCATGCTTTTCCTACAGGTTTACGATCACAATCAGTAAAAAAGTGAATAAGTATTAAAAATTCAAATATTGACATTAACGTATCAGTTCACAGGGAAAAATATTCAGTCTAGTTTACCTTAAGTTATGACCTATCTAGATATATTCCTCTAATTTCATAGTTGAATTTTCACTTTGCCGAACAATATCATGATCCAGTCATCTATCGATGCAGGTTATGATAAAAAATGAAGGAGAGATCGAACCCACGTGTGTTACTTAAATAACACATAACTAGTACTAGATTGTTCCAGTGAGTTGCCTTATAAAGAAAACTTCATCAAGGACACTGGAAGGTTGATAAGATAAAATAATTGTAGATAGATGATAGAATGTTATGATCAATTTAGTCTTTTAATTATGAGTCTGTACTATTTTTAAGCTGGATATCTCCACACGTCTGAGCTCCTCTAAAGTAAGCCATCGCCCTTCAGAATATAAGGTTTGCACGTACATAAGCATCAGTGATGGGCGTTTTAGCTTTTTCTTGTTATCCTTTAATATACTACTACAGATCAATTCTGATGTCCTGTAAGACGGGAAAAGTGGGTTTGAATTAATTAATTTTCATCTAATGGGGATTTGATTGAAAAGAACAGAACAGTATTTCAATCATTTTTAAAACTAATTAATGGAGAAACATGATCATATTCTTACCAATTAAGGAAAATAATCAAAGACCGAATTGCCATTCTTTTCGTCGAGAACAGTTTAAAGACAGGGAAACATGAGGATTCGACCTGCTTTTCTGTCTTCTCGTTTCCTTTCTCAAGTATAGTACTGGGTAGATGTACCCCGTTAACACGAGCTGCATGCTGAAGTATATCCATTGCCTCTTCCTTTCGGTCTTTTATTATTAGCCATCTGACAGATTCTGGCATGATCCTGTAGACAAAGGGTTGACATGTTAGCAAGGAAGCTACACATGATTTTAAACATGTACCTGCAATATTTTCTTTTCTCATAAAATTAAACTTAAAACAAAATATAGTTAAATTGTATTTAAACATTGAAATAATATTGCCAGGACAAAATGAAGTTCACTTAACAAATAACAGTATCGTGTGTTTCTTGAAATGTGATACATCGAGAAAATAGAACGCAGAAAAGAGTAGATCTGATCACATCAACGCCATTGTAAAATGAAAATAGAAAATAAGTTTTTTCTTAAATGATTTCCTGAAGAAATCGACGAAATTTACACGCTATTAATGAAGATATGAATTGATAAATACATATGTGTATATAATGTACGTCACTATTGATTTGTTATTATTTCAAATAAGCATGTTATGTATAAATGTGAATATGCTTGGTTCATATCCATCAAATAAAAAAAATGCATTATTGTGGTGTTGGGTTAAAATATCGCATTTCGTGACAAATAAAATGTAATTCATTTTCTTAAAACTTCGTTTATGTCGTTTTGAATGAGCAATGATAATGCAGAAAGCTGTATAAGAACCCTTATAATAGCCTTTAGTTACTAACTTCCATTACACTCAAAATTTGTCAGCAGCAATCGGCTGCATGCAAGTAATAAAAGTGGAAATAGCTGGGTTATAAAACACCAACATCCTTATGTATATGGACGCGGTTATATGCAGTGTATAGCCAGATAACCAAATGTGTCATAGACGCCATGCGATATTTTACCATTATTTGCGTTTTCTATTACACTGACGATTTAAATCGGCTTGAAAACAGCCGCCACGTGTGGATTCTCTCTTTATTATCATATGTCCAGTATTGCGTTAGAATGCCGATACAACAAGTAAGTTGTCTCCCTTATCCCATCAAACAAAAGTATTGACAAATGATTAAACTATAACCAAACACTTTCCATAAGACAATGTGAGGAAAACCACGTGACAACTCTGATCAGTCGGAGATATAAGACAAATGGTTGTAGGTACGGCACTTTTACTAAATAAATAGGTAGTCACTAACCATAAGCAGAGAAGAGGGGTCAGTTGTAGGTTCTACACCATAACGACTAGGGTGCTATAGAGAGTCAGTAACTGATCCTACAAGACTGTTCAGGTTTTAATGTATAATTTACTTTAGGAAGCATTGTTAGTAGTCCTGCGTTACTATCCTAAGACTGATATCACCTGGATGTTACAAATCAATATGGCTTATTACATCACTGGTTTCGATTGTATAACAACATAATTACCTTAGTACAGCACGTGCTCAATATCAATACTTTATCTTTTGAATAGGACCGGATTTGTTACATCATTATATTTTTAACGTGATATATTTAATTAACATGACAGTTTTTTTACAAGTACAGTAGTCATATAGTTATCTATTACAAGTACACAATGTTAAATCCTTGACTTTTCGTCTGTTGTACCATTCCACCTCTAACTTATCATTATTTAAATTCATTTTGCATCTGTGCCTTGAAAACAGAAATGAATCATTTTTATTTATAGTTTACGAAAGGGAATAGCTCTGATGCTTCCTTTTCAGAAAGAAGTCGCTTTAGGTTAAGATGTGGTTTTGAGTAATAACTACAGATGCATTATTTTAAGTTAGAATGTACAAAGGGGAATAACTCTTAAGAAGTATCATTTCTCTGTAAGAAGTGGTCAAAGCTTAATACATAAACAACGGGTTACAAGATAAGCATCTATAATTCTGTGTTATAAGAAGTGCATAATGTAATATCAATCTATTCATTGTACAGAAAACAAAACATATGTGCATAGTATAGCATAGCATGTTGTAAAATTACCATATATATGATAAAAACAAGACTGGCGGAATAGAAACGACAAGATTGAGATATTTCCAATCGCGAATAAGGTAGGCGAGCAAGGCAAGCAACATGGTCCCGCTGGCCCAGAACAGCTCAATCACAATTCCAGCCCACATTCGCTTGCTAGGGCCTACAAACTCCAATCCTGTTCAAAACATAAATATGACGAATCTACACTTTAAAACTTAGTTACTATGCATTGTAAATATTAAAGTCATATTGATATTTAAAACTTAAAAAAAAAATAATAAATTTTAAAAAAAAAAATCCCAAAAGTAAGAAGTAAGCATGCAAGTTTTGGAATTCAAATTCTAAAAAAAATAAATTAAAAAGCATGATAAAACGCATGTACTTATATCCCGGTCCATTTGATTAATAAAGGTTTGTTTTAGTAAGTGCTTGATGAAGTAAGATGTCACTAGCGTTATCGAGACTTGTCAAAATATTCATGGATTAAGATTTGTCTGCAACTATTAAAAATGACGTGAAATTTAATGTGTCCGTAGAATCCTTTATTCCATTGTTGATTCTTTGACAACTGTATGTCTTTTTGGAATAAGAAAATACCAGAAACGAAGGTTAAAAATGATGTTTATGTAAACATGCTTTTGTTTAAGATAGAACGTCCTCCCTGTGCTGTGACACTCGTTTAGGTACGAGACATTTTGGCTTTTCACTACACATTAAATTGTAATTCAGTAGTTATATCTAAAAAATACGTATGTACAGTACGGTTGTGGTAACGCAAAATGCTCCGAAAGCGTCACGCGCAGATCGTCCGCACATACAAAATGTACGCACTATCTAGTGTCTATCGCACAAGCGTGCGATAGTAGTTCAAATTTTGTGCAGTTTAGTGAAAAGAGTTGGCTAATATTGGTGAAAAGGGTTGGCTAATACCATTGCATGAAAATTAAAACGGAAAACTCGTGTAGTTATGAGTAAATAGCGACCACAGGAATATCAAAACTGATCGGTGACTTTAAAAGTAATTCTTAATTCGAAAGTTTTCGAAATAACACCGGACCCTGCATTCATTAGTCTTTCTATTGAGAGTGGAGAGTGGTGTGCCTCGGACAACAAAGTGTACCTGTATACTGGCATGTACGTGAAAGGTGCGGATCCGTACAGGCAAAGTTTCCCGTGTTACAAACACAATACTTCCGATTTACCTGTGTATATATTTCTTATTTACAAAATGACAGAAAAAAGAGAGAAATTCAGAAGCCATGAAAACAAAATTTCATTTCTGACCGTATAAGATTTTATACGATTCATTGACGAGACAAAAAGAGACGTCCATTTAATGTTTACATGCATGATGTATATATATGACGGGTAACTGACCACTTTTTGCACTTTTTAACAAAACACATTGAAGTGTAAGTGTACAAATGTCTACAAATATACAGTAAGTATCGGATCTACGTGTGTCCAACTTATACATTTGTGACAAAATTAGGAAATTTGCTAAGTTGTACTCATAAATATATATTTTAAAAAAATAAGCCATATCAAACACTTATGAAAAGGTAATTTCTAACATACAGAATCACACACCTATATGATAGAACTGCAACATGTGCGCACGTATGTGCGATACCTTATATAGTCCAACTTTCCTATCGTGCATATATTATGCGTCCATCGTGTAACGTTGTGGGATCCCACAAGTGTTTTCCCGAATCGAACTTGCTCTCGACTTTTTGGGTTTTTCAAAATCAACACTGAATAGCTTTGCCAGGTAAGCGTGGTCTTTGTTCTGTGTTTTCGGGCCGTTGACAGCATTATAACAATTTGAAAGGTAAGGTTTAAAAAAGGGCCATTACGGATATCAGGTGAAACACGTATAATCGACATCTATCAGTTACTATTACGAAAGCCTCTTTATTGTGAATGTAGGTTTTACATATCTCAAACCTGTTTAAATCCTACAGGTCTATATATATCAACTTCTTTGTTATTGCTGGCGACTGGTCAGGACAAACTTGCCGACCCAGAATTAGTCGATATTTACAAGTCTGTAGTTTTTCGTTTCATTGTACATAGCTCGTATAGTATTGCATTTTGGTTTTGAACGTGCAAGTGCGATTAATATGTATTGTGTTTCCATACCGAGACAACACGAGATCGTTGAAATTAATTTTGTACTTGTCAATTTCGGTTTAACGTTCGGTGTTAAATTGATTTATTTATATATAGCTTTTGTTACTTTATACAGGGAAATCTACAGTGATACTTCCTAGGGCCCTCTACAACTTTACATCTGTCTCAGCCGGAAGGATCTAAACCCCAAACCAAAGAACACAATATTGCATGGTACTAGAATTAAAAAGCCAGCTTATCCATTTTTTTCACGATCACAATTGTAAATATGTTCTAAACTGACGATTTTTTACGGCCAGCATAAAGCTCAACTGGGCCATTTTATTTGGTTATACGTGAAAAAACGTGATTATTCAAATCGCATATTTTAAGATGGATCTACTTTTCATCGGCCTGATATCCTTAATCCATTTACATAAGTTTCACTGTCAAAACATTTGACAATTTGCTTTCTTTTCTATTCTGTTGGGCATTTGTTCGTCTCTGTCAGCCGGCCTCTGTTCGACGACACTTTGGACCGCGTACATCACCAAACTATCATTGTGTGAAGGATGTGGTGATATATGATTAATTAATTAAACCACCCCGATTACGTTAATGAATCTAATTTGAGTTTAGTAAACATAGTAAAAAAACAGCATCATTACCATGTTTGTTTTCTACACGAGTCACCAATGTTTTAAGAAATACGTCAATGCTGAAATTGGAGTTTATCATTTGTTTTACGATCAAAGCACTAAACAATTCATCTATTAAGGTCGATGTTAGCGCTACATATTCTCCAAACTTAAGTCTGCTATTATTGGTTATAGCTGTGTGTACTGAAATGTATCCCCTTACCCATAACAAATCCAGTCCCGAGAAGACCACCAACGGAGGCACCCGACAGGAACCGACAAGTGACAAACAGCTCGAAGCTTGTGACGAAACTGCCACTGATGTTTGGAAAGATATACAAAACTACACTTAGGATCATAGACCTCTTACGTCCAAGTCTGCAAAAGAAAGATTATTTTTTTAACATATTGTAAATGTAATTGGTAAATACAGGCTATTGGTTCAACAAAATCTTGAGAAAACAGACAAACATTATTGAATAAAATAATGGAAAGTGTTATATAGGTTTCAACAGTCCAACAATGCTGTTAATTCGTTTGTATTGTTAGTGTTACTGGCTGGTATACAGTTTTCAGTCTTTTATCTTTTTTGTTTGTCATGCTACATAATTATTCATTCGTCTTTATAGTAAGATTTGAATGGGTTTTCTTCAAGGACCGTGCCGTATTGAAGCTATCTTAGTGTCTTTGTTTATCAGGGTACGTAATTGATGCTCCCTACTTGAGCCTCTGCACTATGTATGAGACAAGCTATGACTGACTGATTATGTCAGTAAGTAATGACTTGAGAATGATATTATCACGCAGACGCAACATGATGGTAACACTGAGTTATGAAAGGACTCATTCCAATTAGCATGGCCTTTAATTTATCACGATACGTAAAGGAGGATTTAAATGGCCAAACTTTACAAAGTTGACCAAAATACTACATTTTTTCTTTCATAATAACGAAAGTTATACAAAATGTGTGCACAATTCATTTTGGTACAATATTTTTTTAGTTATAGACAAGTCTCCTGATCACTAACTCTGTTGGTGTCCTAATTCTCAAAAGACCTTGAATGTTTCGTGATCAATTAAGAATAAGCCAGTAGATTACAATTTGAAATATGACCGTTTCGTATTCAAATCTTTGTAAAGAGGGTCATTATCTCAAACTGATTTGACAGGTAAGTTGTTAACGCTATCTACATTACTTCTCTGCCTATATCTATATATATATACACAGGCGATACAAAACGTTGCCTATATCGTGGTGTCGTTATTAGTTACTATATTACCTTACTGTACATGACGGTGCAAAACCACATCTAAACAACCACGTCGCTATGTGTTTATGTCTGAAACGGTTGTATGATCAGCAGTACTCTTTAATCTCTTATTGATATCTTTAAATGTCATCAGACATCGCTATTCTCATGCTACACAATACATCGTTTTTTTTTTCAATAGAACAAGGGAAAATAAGCTAGACAAAATGTCATGTAACCACCATAGAAACCGGAAATCGAAATAAAATAGAAGATGTTAACCCATGTTAAACAGAAGATACCTCGCCATTTAATACTAGTTTGTTCTTTAACGGCAACATGCATACGTCACATAAAATACGCGCATGCATAATTAGATATAGTTTCTGCATTTGATAGTCAAAATTTCACATATACATAAATAACCATGTTTAATTACTCGTAGTTTCTTAAACACACGTCAAACCCCTAAATGCACATATCTAGTTGACTTTACAGTCTACATTGTGTGCATACTGTACATACATCGTTCTCAAACACTCACTATACAGCATCTAGCGCACAAGGATCGCAAATTTGTACGGTTTGGTGAAAATGGTTGGCTATTATTGGTGAAAATTGTTGGTTAATATTACGGATTTAAAAATAAACAGAAAATTAGTGTGGCTTTGACTGATTATCGATCATATGCTTATTAAGATTGACCCTGCATTTATGAGTATTTCTATCGCATAACTTTAGAGGGGGGAGGGGGGGGGGGGGGGGGGGGGGTAGTGGTGGTAAAAACATTACAGGCCCGGATCCTTACCAGCAAGGTCTCCCGTGTAACAAACATAACGCTTGAGATTTACTTATATTTTTTCAGAAAACGATAGAGAAATGAAATCAATTCAGAAGTCATGAAAATAAACAGTTCTTTCGTTATGTGATTTTAGATGACCGATACAAAACTATACATTCATTTAATGTTTACACATGTAATGTAGATATTATGACTGACTGTAAACTAAGACTGATTACCTGTGACACTTTGTAAACAAATTAACTGAAAGGACGAGTGTATGAAATTAACCAGCCTGTATCTGGTAGATCTAAATGTGTCCAATGCATAGATTTATAATTTAATTAGGCACTCTACGTACACGTATTCATAGATATCTAGAAAAAAATAAACCCTGACCCAGACTTAATTATAAGTCATTTCTATTTTATATTGACAAAGACAGAATCGCACATAGAACCACACAATGTGCGCACATAGCTTATTGGATAGATTATTCCAATCGTGCGCACAATGAGCAGACATCTTGAAGACTTCGTGCACACAATGTACAGACATCCTGAAGACTTCGTAAGCATATTGCGCAGATATCAAGAAGACATCGTAAGCACATTGTACAGACATCGTGAAGACATTGAAGAACAGCATGAAGATTTCGTAAGCACAATGTACAGATACCATAAAGACATAGTGCGCACATTGTTCAGACATCGTGGAGACATGTAAGTACATTGTACAGACATCGTGAAGACATTGTAAGCAAAATGTACAGACATCGTGAAGACATCGTAAGCACATTTAAAGACATTGTGAAGATACATTGTGCAGATTGTACAGACAGCATGAAGACATCGTAAACACATTGTACAGATATCGTGAAGACATCTTGCGGACATTGTACAGACATTCTGAAGACTTCTTAAGCACATTGTACAGACATCGTGAAGGCTTCGTAAACAAAATGTACACAAATCATGAAGACATCGTAAGCCCATTGCACAGACATCGTAGAGACATCTTAAGCACATTGCATATTGTGTAACGTGGGTCGATCCCACAACTGCAGGACGTCTTATTTGAATACGGTTTTAAGCATGTAGTTAAATCATTATCTTCTTGAGCATACTACCCAAACCGATTACAACCTACACCCAGGACAAAGGATTTATGATTTCCTCCGTAATTAAGGTGTTAAGGTACGTTATACGTCGATAACATAAGTAATATCACATGAACCCTGCAAGTGCAAAAATATACAAATATGTAGAAAATCTTTGTCCAAACATGCAGGCATATTTTGACAAAAACCAGTTTGTTTTTCACGGTTGGAATCTTATACAAGAAGCGATTAAAAATACATCAATAATTTTTCAACGAGTATTTGTTATCTTAAGGACTCGCGCACAATTAATTCTAGTGACATTTAAATGGATCCGATCAAACTTTTGTCGTGGTTTTACACCATTCGAGGTCGGATTTGGAGCTATAACCGATCGTTGTTCAACTAGTGAGACATTTGTAGATACAAAGGACCAAAAATAATAATACTTTCTTGATGTTGTAACCGAAGAATGGGGTTTTCAATGTTTACTTAGCTGTATTTCTAAATATGCAATAAGATATATACAACGACAAAGCTAAGACCTTTAATATTTTAATGAATCTACGACTCATTCTTCAGGTTTTGACGCGTGTGTGTTCTGAAATGGAATGTCCATATTACTGGACAAATATCTGATTGCTCACAGAAAAAAATATTTATAGGGCACAAAAATTCAGCAAATGGCATTGAATCTTGTATTTAATAGTTTAGACGCTGGATTATGTGAATTGCATATTATTTTATTATGACGAATGTATACACCAAAATTGTATGTATCATAGTGTAGATAATCGCAAGTAACGCTTCGGATATATCTTTCAGAAGGGGCAAAATATAATCAATGGGTTGCATGTTTTAAATTTGGAAAACTGCACATTCCTTTAGTATAACAGGTAGAAGACCCGACATTTATACACCGCACATTGTCCTAGTACGACGAACGGATATATCAAGTTTTATTGTCCTAGTATAATGCAAGCGAAGTTATGCATATGCATCGGACACGAATGCTTTCAGCAAAGGGCAAGGGGTTGCGAATCCTAGCTTTTGTACAATGTACTTTAATGTAGTATGACTAATGCATATTCCTAGTTTTCATGTATACAATTTCAAGTTGTGCTTCGGATACGCAATTTTAACAAAGGGCGGTAATTCTGTAAGGGATTGCGGGACCTGAACGTCGGACCGTACAGCTTTATGATTAGTTCTATTCGTCTTCAGTAACTTCTCTGGAGTAGATTTCTTTCAACATCAGCAAATTTCACTGACCAGGTCTCTGGAGTATTTGTGAGTTTAGATGTTCATTGCTCATGGAACCTTTCTACAATATTTTATTGACATTGATACAATTGTTTTCAAAATTTCGAAAATGTGAAAATGTTAATGAACGATGGTCGACGGATGATCAATGACCTTTGCGTTCATGTCCGAACCAGAGGAAAATCACTTAAGATGATAAAACTCTTTATGTTCTTGTCACTGTCTTGTTCTTTTCAAACTTCGCATTGACTTAACTTGTTTATCATGTAATACAATCGCAAAGTGATCGATAAATGTATATGACAGACATATGTGTTGAAATTATCTACCCAATTCTTAAAGGTTTTCTCCAATGTTCCTACAACATTGTAAAATATATTATTTATAGCACTGAGTGTGTTTGTTTGTGTATATACCATAAGGCAAAGTTCCTGTAGCGCTTGTCTAGATAGACTGTTGTTGAAGTGTTTAGGGACTCGCCATACTGATTGATGAAGTAAACTGGCGCTGCATAATTACAAGCATTGCACTACAAAGTAAAGACCTTAATGTGGTCAAAAGAGTGAAACTCTTTTATATCCTCCTAGAAGCCGAGAAGTCGTCCTGTGTTAACACATGTACAGGAGCCGTAGATCGTAAACACGATATGGACCTCTAAAACATTAAATGAACAGCATTTGCACAGCAGGAGCACCGTTCATGTACAACGTTCCTGTACTACATATTATCATATACATAAAATAACTTGCATCTTGATAAATTGCTAGCTTAACCATCAAAGACCATATACCTGTTTGATTCCTGTAGATACATATCATAGATAATTCATCTCCACAATCACACACAAAATTAACAAAATATGTAATGCCTATGAAAGTTCATAAACATTCAGATAATCATATTTATGATTTAACCAAAAATAAAAATCTAAATATTTTGATCAAGAACCTGTTAAGCTTGTTATGCTTTTGAATCTAAGTTCAAAAGCAAATAATAACATAATAGTGTCGGTGTGTGTTCTGAAACAACGACAGATTTAATGCGAGATAATGAGTGGTGTGATTGCAAATACTTTGGTATTTACATATTTGCACAGTAACAACTCATGTTTCAATCAAAAATAAATAAATAAATAAATAAAAAAAATAAATAAAAAACCTACAGTATGAAATGAGGATAAACCTTCAGAATATCTTTTTATCATATACAACACAAGGATATGTCTCCTGAAACACCTGGTACTCATATGACCCGAACTATTACTAGGACATGTCGCAATTAAAAACTTATTTAAAAAAATATATAGAATACTAATATATATATATAATAGAATATATGAAAAAACATAGAATATATCTATCTTAAGTGAAATGAAACTATATGGTTTCCTGATATGATAGTAGTACTTTTTATCTCTTTTTAAACTTAAACTTTAAATTTAGTTAATATAATTTTAAAGGATGTAATGACATGCTTGACATATTGCTGATTCATCACAGGATTACCAACTTTTAAATATTCAAACGTGATTTTGCACTAAAACCATATACACCAGTAGTTTTATCATTCAAAATATGACATTACAAAAATTTCAAGTCGACCGATGTTTGAATGACACTTTTGCATGCCTAAAACTGAGAAAAGAGAAAAAAGATGACATCGGCATAGTAATAATTCATCATTTTTTCATCATTTTTTTTTTTTTTTTTACTTCTGAATTACATGTATTATTGTTGCCCCTTGATTCCGTCTTTATGGATCAATTGACACCTCCCGTCAGCTCTTCTGTTAGCCATGTAATTATGCACTGTTATGACATTCTAAATACCGACTTTATCAGGGTATGCTAATAGACCAATTTATCTATCAAAGCTCGTTTTAAAAAGTAAGTTGTCACGATACTATGAAATGTATTTTTTTGTCTTGATATATTTCAATAAAACGCGTCTGTAGAATTGTTTGAAATCAACTGATGTACTACAAATTGTGCCAAACAGAGAAAATATGAAAGAAGCTTTTAGTACAGTGTGCGTCATCCCATCGTACATATGTAATTATACCGGTTACATCAATAGCTTTACTTATGTCCCCTTGACAATTCGACTGAGTTAAATCCCTGGTCAAAAATATAGTTTTCCTGCTTGTCACTTAGTGTTATACACGTACCATGTGAACCTTCCTCCTCTTAACGACTTCTTTCCGCAAATGATCTCTTTGACACTGCCTCATTTTGACCGTTAGATAAGCGTTCCTCCAGTGAAGAAAGTTTCTGGAAATTTCCCCATGTCACGACATACTGAACACTCAGCAGAATAATAGTGTACCGATTGGGTCTATAACGTTTTGAGACCGGATAACATCAGCTACTAGGTGCAATATTTCGATATAAATACGGCTTCATTTCCATTATACCAAATTTAATTAACACACGTGCTCAAATTATGCATTCACCTTTAATTATCCTGTGTGATCATCCTTAAATAACCATAGACATTTAGGACTCTGTAAAAACCTATAAAACCAAACCTCGTTTAATCTAACATTTTAATGTTATTTTTTTCTTATTAAAAGGTGTTATTTATTGACGTGTTTTTGTAAAATCTTAAATTATCTGTACAGTTCAATTTCAAGATTTTTAGTTTTTTCTTTTCCGTTCGGGCAAGTTATTTCTATACACTCAACAGGGAAAATGTTCACAGTCTCATCGACAATGACTAATGAATTGGTCTAAATGGTGACTATCACGGATGATTGACTTCATACAAAGTGTGACTGGCACGGATGACTGTACAGATTAAAGTACAAATCTTTCCACCTCTAATAAGCTTTTTTTATGATCTTAAATGATTGAATACCATTCTATGAGAACGCCTCGTACATTATTCCTATATATCTTCGTACTTGTTAATATCTATTCTGATATACATCTGTTATGACATTACAACATAACACCGTGAGATCGTTCTATGTTATGTTTCCATGCGTTACACATTCTTTTGCATCCTACTCAATTCTTTTTAAAATTTTTGTAATATAAACCGTACTTAAAACGTGTGAAACACGTAGAAAGTAAAAGTAAAGTTTCTTTTCAATGGAATAATCTTAAAAAATATGTAAAACACCTTGTCACACCCGGTATCATTTACATTTCTAATCCAACTATTTCTAATTTTCGCAAGAAGGGCTTAAGACTTGTGCCTGCTATACCTATCCATGATCAATGGGAGGTAATTAATTTGAGATATTGCTTGTCTATCTAAATGACCAATTATACACTAATCTATTACTTTTCCTCGCGTTTGTTCTGTAGCTGAGCTTCCGAAGCTCTCGTATTATCCCGTGTTAAAGACATACTATTACGTAAACATAGCAGTTCAACACACTGCTTTACCGTCACTATTGTAAGAGGGTCACGACGGGTTCGTCTGTTGTCTACATAACTCTATCAGTTTGGATGTATTGCTGGGGAGTTCCGGAAGTATACTTCATAGTAGTAGCATTATAATGTCGACTACAGTTCTGTATTACCACCGGGGGATTTCATAAGTCAATCTCCTATAAATATACATTCATCTCACAAACATGGGGAAGTCATTAGATGCGTATTGCTGTTAATACGCTGTTAAACAATTGAAGAAAAATATCATTACTGTAACAAATAACATGAATATTCATGACCGATATTGACCGAGTATCACTATAAGAATGAGTTCAATATATTATATTTCTGGATCTTTAATATTCAGGCTCTTTTCCCCACTTTCCACATCGTATCGTTTTCTCAATAACTGAGAACGTCCTGACAGCCCTCTATAAATAATGTGCGAGAATAGCAGAGACATTCTACCGTGTCAAGGTATTTTAGTGAAACAGTTCTTGAATTCACGATGTCATATGTTCTGTCATCTGTGACAGCTGGTGCGAGTCAATAAACTGGTTTTTTAAATTGAATAATCTTACTTCCATTTTTACCGAGATATTACACAAATACTATGTAACACTTTTTGGTTCCGGTTGGAATATTAGATGTTGATATCATCATTTTATGCAATATGTTATACACTTTCAAGCTCGTGGACACTGATATGTAATATGATATTAATTCCAACAGGAGAGCCCAGCCATTTAAATAATGATACAGTGTCATTTGATATTAGCTTTGTGTTGTGTTTTATGTAGATTTTTGAATACCATTTACTATTCAACTACCTGATTTTAGTCATTCGTTTAAATTCGTGGTGTAAAGTTCCAGACAGCCGTACAGCATAATGGTGTCCATTGCTCTGAATTAAGATCAAATTGTTTTGAAAGTTGAAGTAATCTTGTCTAGTAATCATGATATTCATTTGTCAGCAATATGCGCTAACGGATAAGGACGACACCGAAGGTAATATAGCTACGAAAATTTAACAACTTAAAAATGGTTTCACTGTCCAGATACATTGTTTATAAATGGTGAAAAGTGACGCATTAATGTACGAATGAACGAAGGTATAAAAATATTGTAAACTCATCCAACTTATTTCATGCAATGTGTAAACTGTCACATTGTGTATCAATGGATTACTTGTGCATAGTAATTTATCAATGGGATCAATTAATTATTGCAAATTTAAAACGTCATTATACTGATACAATGATTGACTTTCAAAGGCAATCGTAATGAGGTTTGAACAACTGCTTAAATTTCATTGTAAAGGGAAACTGATGTTGATTGTTTACCATTTCAAATATTGATCATATTTGTGAAAGTGAGAGTTTATCGCCCAATAAACAGACAGGGTGATTTTGAGGCGGCATCTCCTTGTAGTAGCAGATGCTGGTTGCCTTACTGAACACCATTCAAGAGGTACGACACAAGTCATGCAGAGCAAAAAGAGTCAATTGTCTTGACAAAGCATACATCGCCACATTTCTCAGCTTTCTGGCGAACACAAACCGGCACGTTGTAGGGAGCGTTGGATTTCTAATTATATAGTATATATCATAATGGCCGTATCAGTGTTTATCTGCCACTAATATATCTACTGTACTGATTCGATCGGTTTAAATCAGGGAGATATAAATATTATTGTAGTGGTTGGTGATTTTATCAGATATAATATCGTATTTTAAACAGATTATTTGGTTGTTCATAATTTACATTTGTACCAATACACTACCATCTGATTGCAACGAACGAGTTTCTCAAATGGATGCACTAGTCTAATTAATCGTTGTAAATCATTTTCATAGTTAAGTATAACCCAAAAGTCAGAAGTATTGGGCCAGCTGACGTCGTGATTGAGGTTATGGCGTTACATTATTAACTCTAATTTGGATTTGTTTGTAACTAAACGAAATTCGTGTTATCAAACCTTTATATTAAACTCTAGATCGTTTAATGATGACTCAAATCTAAGTTATAGTTTGTAGCAGGGGTAGTACAGAATATGAACGAAATTGATATATGTACAGGTCCTTGTGGATTTTAAGACAATATGCGCTTTAGCTTTCAAGCTTCCTGTCATACTGTATATGTATCATCGTGTCTTACATCGTCATTCAGTGGGAAGATAACAATAGAATGGTTGGTGTAAATACTCACACATCTGCCATTATCCCAAGTAACAGCGAGCCAACTGTGAACCCAGCCATAAAAGCCATCGTGGCGTGAACAATATATTTCTTTCGTTGACAGACAAGGTTGTCCTGAAATAAAATTTGCCACGCGAATCAGATATGTAGTAAGTACACTGAAGTGACATTTTGCTATTTCTAAATCTATCAAAATACACAGATGAGTTCTAACTGACTACCATACACAGACAAAATAGCATCTTGTGATTAGATTCCTGAAACGACGCTGATGAAATCAAAGGACCTTTGCTAATGCTTTAGGTCAAATGATTTATATTGCAAAACATTCAAACGACTTCAGACTAACTGAAATATACGATACGACCCTGGTCTATAAATATGAAACAGAATCAAATTATTCGAAGTTCAGAAACAGGACATCGGTTGGCAGCTACATGTGATGAAGTCGCAGAAAAGATAAAAAAAAAAAAAAAAAAAACATGTTTGCAAAAATAACAGATTTTTTATTTAACAAACGTCAAATAGCGCAAATTCGATGAAACACTGAAAAAGTAACGCTAAGAGCAATAAAAGCTACAATGTTTTGTTTAAAACTTCCTTGAATATATTCGAACAATGTGAACTAAACGAAATAGCAATCACATATCCAAGGTCACTAAGATATTCAAAGTCACTAAAGCCAAAATCAAAGCATTCAAACGACCTCCGATTAAATCAGTCATGAATGTATAAAACACGAAGTATAGATAAAGTCAACTTTCCTAAATAAATAAAATCAAATTTTAGAAGAAGTGAATATACATTCAACATCGTAAGCAGAATTATAACACCAAAAATGATAAGAGCAGTATTACTTGAAAACGAACAATGAGTCGCTATGTAAGTAAATGGATGAAAAGACGTCATGCTGTCTCACCTCGGTTGTGAAGGTACTCTGGAATATTGTTGTGTCAAATACGAAGGAATGACACTTGTACGTGACGATAGATGTGTTTCCCCCTGAACTCGCATTTGATGGGACGATTCTGTTGATGGCACATTTGGAATATTGAGCGACTGTATGTCCATATTGGTCCTGTACTTCTTCGTATGGTATGGATATATTGAGCAAGCTATGGTGTTGGATGTTTTGAACATGGAACGTGTCGTTCTCATAAAACGGAATGCTGCATCTGAAACATAATAACATTAGTAAGAATTATAGTAGGTACAGTGTAATAACCTCACAGACATAATCAGATATGATACAGTACAGATACTGTACAATTAACAAGAACACCACGCCTATCGGTGGTATATTTCATTTACATACAAATTACACTTTCTGTGTCCCATTCATTGATTGATAAATTTTTTTTTTTTTTTTTTTTTGGTATTTTTGATTTGTATGTTTATTTCCCACCATCCCAGTTAATTACAACATGTTTTAGTTATACATGTCCGTACGAATTGAATTGATGTCGTGGGTAGAGAGCATCACCATAAAGAATTTAGGAGATAAGGATAAGTGTGACAGGCTCCTATAAGTAGAGCTTGTGATTCCGAGAGAACTGTCCATTTAAATGTCAAATGTTCAAAACCAAGTTACCAGTTTTATTCTCACTCTAACAGTACTACAGTTTTGTAAACGACATACAAACGAGAATAATATAAGTGTATTATATCATTGATATAAACTGGACTCCTTAAACGTTATGAGGTTATTTTATAGATGATAATGAGGTTCTCGATCGCTTCACTGCCGACGAGAGTCTTTTATATGAAAATCAAGCCATCAGCCAACTATATTCGGTAGTGGAAAGACTCGCCTTAATTATATACAAGCAAGGCAAAACATTACGTGTAATGCATAAGAAGTTACTAGTATAACTTATATAGGTTGTGTGTCTCTCATATCAGCTGAAGTGTTTGCTCTGTTAAACACTGTGAAAGGGTATGCCATAGATTACTTGTATAACTATGTATGTATCGTTTTCCCTGCAGTATAAGTTTGCACTTTCGTGTGTGTTCGTTCACGCTTCTCGTTTCGTGTTGTTCTCAATTGTGAACACCGTTTTCGTACATATCGGACGACACCTTTTATTTTCGCTAGAGGATATATTAAATACATGTCATTATACTAGACGATTATATATGTACTGTAGGCTGTGCGTCTCTTAATAGGTAATCATAATTGATTGTTATCTTGTTTTTCTTTTTTTATGACAGTTCAAAACGTCTACACACTATTTCTGAATGGCACTGTTTGTTACCGTAATTCAGTATATGTTTTATGAAAAATTTTTATCACAATAGTGTTGTAGGTATATGATAATTTACCTGTGTTCCGGAGTGAACAGAATGAAAATAGACAGACATGTTTGAATGGCGCTGAAGATTTGAGGCACACATTGCATAAGATACACTCTTTTCTGGTACGTCCCAAATTCACCCAAAACTTTAAATATGTCATCAAACGACATTGTCAGTCTCGAAGTTGTCACAACACGTGTTAGGCGTACATAATCAGAACGACTTTTGTTATGAAAGTTAGAGTTTTCAACTGCTTTATATATAGGCTTCGGTCAGAATTTTGGCTTGTGTCTCACTGAAGTTAGTTCGTGGTTCGATTCATGGTGGGTTTAAAACATAGCTCCACTTCACTTTTTGCTCCAGTACCACAATCTGTAACAAATAACACATTATTAGACAAACATCATAGTTTATTTAAATCATTATGTGCAGACTGAAAATGTTGATATGTATGATTACTTTATAAACGTGTCGAGGTAACATTATCCAACACCGAAGCTTGACATTCCTCTCTAGGAGATGTTTGCTGTCTCTTAACCTCGACACGAACTCATTTACTTGAATATAAATTCCAGACAAACATGTAGAGGGTTGTATCGAGTAAATGCAATAGATATCTGTCGTTTATTGTAACATTTTACTGACACATTATGACTGAAATGCACTTGCCTGTTGTTCTTAACATGGGACAATGTGTAATATGATCTATTACCACTTCAATAAAAATGGGGGTTGGGGGGTTAGTGGCTTATTTCTGTGCGTACCAACGTATCACAGAACAGTTTAATAACCTGTAGCATACCTTGAAATGCGATAAAAATTAGCATCCTGTTTTATTCTAAGCTACTATGTGAAAGCATTCCAGGAAAATTTGCGATATTATTTTCAGAATAATCTAATACGTGTCAGTGCGGTTATCTATGACATTCAACCTGCACATTCACAATACGTTATATACCACTACAAATAAAGTTATTTACTTGCAATGCACACAGAATTTACTGTTACATACATTGTGTATATCTGATGTGTCCTTGGTCCTTTGTAATGTCATATATGTCAGATTGTAATTTAAATGACTCCTCGATTTGATGTGATCACCCCCAAAGGTCCTATAAAACCTCTTTCCGTTTTCATATATGCTTCTTTTTGATAATTGTGAGAACTGGTATATAACATAGATCATATAGGCATAAGACTGTCTTCATATGCATTCAATAAAGCCGTGTGATATTTTGGCGTAATACATAACTAGTGTGTAAACTATTGTGACATGACATACGCCACATTGATTTCTATGAGTACCAATGGAAACCGTAGAGATACATCTCAAAATTGCTTTGAAGTGATGTAGGACTATCCGTTTTCTACAATATTTATCCGGAATAATGGATTATTTGATACGATAAAATATGAAATGCACCTTTCAGTTAAACTCGCCAACTGAACATGTCTAATACTGGTTTCTTAAATTATGTATTTAATGGAGAATCGTTCATGATAGTCTATATATATTTCTACAAAAATAAGTTATATATGTGTAATTTCAACATATCCAAATTTATTGTATTGATCAGATATGCCAAGTTGATGTAATGCGGTGTGCATTTCTGCGGGGTCTTTTTTCCTGTTCCGTGTTTGTTGGCGAATTGACGATTGTACATTGCTGTCAAACATCTACATACTTTTTATTTCCCTCTGTTGTCTTTTTCATACTCTAGTATGATAAATGACAATTTTAATCAAGGTATCCTCTGGAGTATGAATTTAAATGCTCAGTATGTTTAATCTTTGATGTCATGATGATATGCAAATGAGAAATAAAGCAATTTTAAATAATAATAGGAAATTGATCATTTTAAAATATCCTCTGAACTTGCATATTGAACAATTTCTCAAAACTCATATTCAGGATATAAATGGTAATATCTTTCGGGTCAATGGATACAATATTAAACAATCATATCATTTTTTTAATTTGGAAACGGCATATTGGCACAGTCATGGGGTTTTTTCTTAGCTGGCATGGATACCGTTTTTGTTTACAGACATTTGGGTTGAAATAACTTGCAACGTCACTCATATCGTTGTTTATAAAGCCCATTGATGCATGTGTCTGTTTCACTGGTTATACCACTTTTCTTTTTAGAAAACAAGAGCAGATATATATTTGTCCTGCTACAGCTTTCTATGTAATTATAATATTACATTATATATACATAGCCAATATAGACATTTACAAATGTATCATAGTGTTATCTGCGACACAGTTGGGCACCACCTGTGATCGTGAAATAACCATAAATCATTTATGTATATAAGAGATGTTGTACATTTCTGCCTTGGAATATTCCTATTAACACAACTCAGTACATACATCTATGTATTGAATTTTACTGTAAATGTTCTGGAAAACTTCATTTACAATTTTTGAGAGATTCTTAAATAACAACATATAACATATCGTTAACATTTTAAACATCAATATTAAAACAAATATATGTTCTGTAAGATTTACTTTGAAAATGATTTCAGTCTGGTGGTTTAATGTTGATAACTTGATACCGGTTGTGTATTAAAATGCCGGTGTTACTGCGCCTTTATTCACAGTACTTAACTTTCTTAATCGTTGTCATTTCGCTTTGTCGACATCATGCAAAAAATATAACCGAGCATTTGTTTGGCAAATGACGGATTTGATAAATTTGAATAATTATACATTCAACACCTTTATAATATAATGTTTACTTCAATGTACTGAAGTAAATGGATTTTTCAATATAGAATAAAACAAAAGGTTTTCTGTTGTGTGTGAAATCGCCATTTATGAATCAAGCATAATCAACAAATGAATGATATTCCTTTGTTTTTGAATTATATGTATCATTTTATCCATGCCCCCACTTCGAGCCTCAAATATACACTTTCGATCAGCTGTCCTTCACTGTATTCATCAAAGAAAGAGTCCACCAATGAAACTGTCAAAAACATCCATACTGGCATTTATCCTTTGCTTGCATCAACTGCATCACTGTTTGTTTACGAATATGCATTTATTTGCCCATATTCAATCGATCGGCATTTATCTGATGATGATTATCAATGCATTCGTATTGTGTCTGTATACATTAAGTAGATGAGAATCTGAGTTCAAACATGGTTGTTGCTGAGGTCGATTAATTATAGATGGCACACACGAGTATCTCACTATCAAAAGCTCCTGCGTCCAAATGAAAATTGATCTGAACTTAAGATAAACGCCTACCTTGAGTGTATGACCATGTATTCCTGATTGATTTGAAAGCGATTTTCACTATGTATATCGCAGATAATTAACGCCGTCTAACTTTTGACCTAAAAACTGAAAATATGGTATTTACTATGGATAACCCACGGCCTTCTCTACGACAAAGTGTATCAATTATAAGGCATACCATGTTTCTCGTATGTAATAATAATCCAATGCGAGTCTTATTTACAAATATCAAACTCAATGAAGACTTTATCAGTTCTCTATCAACATGATTTGAATAAATTCTTCGTAACAACAGCAGGTTAATAGATGGGAAAAACGAAGCCTGAGAACGGCGTTTCAATTATCGGTGGTAAAGGTAAGGATTCGAGTTCGCATAATGTATCAAGATTTATAAAAGCGGTGCGTTAATTAAATCGTCCGGTATGAACAAAGGAACGAATACATGTCCCTTTCACTAGCTCCAACACTTTAAGTCACATACAAAATAGTTTCCACAAGTACTTACGTGTTTTCCTGGCGAATGTGAACGTCTGTGTACGAAAAATATATCCTTGTAAATATTTATACACACAGCATACGTATGTGAGGATCACGTGAAGTTAGGACACGCCCCGTGCACAGACTCGGGAGCACTTCAAGCATGACGACCAAATCAATAAGCAGACTTTCAGTTTGTATAGGGATATTGCGGTTTCTATTATAAGTCGTGGTGTATGAATGCAATTATTAAAATCATGCTGCTGTGAACCTAAGTGATGTTTTCTATTAGGTGCGTTCTATTCGCTTTTTATATTTATCGGTGTTGGTAGAGCTAATAGGGACGAAACACCAGTCAAAACCGGCGTAAACCTGTTTGTGCCGGATATACAGTGTTTCGTTATGATAAAAAGACATATCATACAAAAGATATGGTGCACAAAATGTTCATTATTTGTTTATTTGTTAATGCGTAACGACCCACCCACTTTTTCACGAGAGATTTAAAACTTTTAAGTGTCTTCCCGTACAATGAAGGTACGGCTGTTTTGACATTAAAGCCCTGAAAATGCTATCTGGAAATTTTTCACCCACTGGATATTAAGATTTTTTGGACAGACACTGTCAACGTAAAGCATCGCAGCCAGCTAAAAAGGTTTTGACTGCCTAGTTTTGTAGGTACAGAAACTATATATGAACGGAACTAGTGCATGACCAGAATATAATGAAAAAACAATCGTGAAAGTTTAAAATAAGCTCCAATTTGGCAAGACTCCTGTGGGGTTAGATATGTGGACGCCGTCAGGTTATTTTTTTGACCAGATCATGCCTCAAAACACATATAATTGATCCAAGTATGACTGAATGTGTTTCAAATAACTTTTTCTGTAACTATATAGATTTCATCTAGTTTGTGCTTCAAACCTACATGTTGTTCCTGCTTTTACTCAATCAATTCATCATGATCTACTTCCTCGTGTATAGTGTTATTCACTTGTGTGTCTGTTTTCAGAATCTTTGAGTATTTTCCCTTATCTACTAGTCAATCCGAGAAAAAGAGCTTCATGTACATATCAACTTTGATATTAGTAGGAGATCATCAGTCTTTCTTTTTTTTCTGTCGCAGCGAGAACATATAATTTTTGTCTGTTTTGCTTTTAAATGAACATGTTGCGACGAAGACACAGAGAGTTACCTTAGGGTTAAGATACTTGTTATAGTATGTTTCTAAACCGTCATGTTAACATTGGTCAGGTGTATTACCACAGCCGATCATTAGTAATGGCCAAAATGATATCATAACAATGTTTAGAACATCGATACCACATCGTTGAAAAGGAAAGATAAATAATTTGAGTTGATTTTAGGGGTATATTATGACGCCCCGTCATTAATATTCAATTCCTGTATCCCATAATCTTTTAAAATATTTTAAATCTTTGTGCAGTCAAAATACTTCCTTTACATAATTTGAAAGTAAGCGAAATATGAGTACGGTAGGGTCATCCTGAGGTCTTCATGCATTACCATATTTGTGCATGGATAGATAAATTTCGACGTAAAACATCTATGTTTTTTTTTTCATTTTTTTTTTACATAAGATACATATTTGATACACGCATAACATCGTGAGAATAGT